TTTAGGTTAAACCATGCCTGAAAGTTCTTTGAAGTATTTCATTAGTCAGACACATGACAGATGATCTTTGGTGGGAAACAGCACTAAAAGAATTCTCTCTCTCTCTCCTCTTCTTCTTCCATAAACAGGAAGAAGGTGAGAGTTAGAAAAGTGCAGCCAGGCATGGCACCCATTGCAACTGGGCTCTTCCTTCCTTTATTCTTTCCTTCTGTCCACACATTCTTCTTCTGCAGGGGCTCCCTGCACTTGTGCAGCAAAGCTACATAGGACTACTTAGACGCGGCAGAGAGGACAAAATGCAATGTCTTTTCTGCTGTCTTGTGGTTGTCCATATTTCTGCAGCCCAGATATGGAAGCTTTACCCTGGGGGATTAGGTTTGTTAAAAGCATGGGATAAAAATTGGGTGACAAGGGTGATATATCACAAGGTAGGAGCCTCCCTTTTCTTAATTTTAACCATTGCTCTAGATCTGCACGTTCGCCGAGCAAGAGGAATGGCCTCGCTGGGGGGGGGGCTGAAGTAAGCAGGTGCGGGGTGTGTGGGGCAGCTCTACCCCCTCACCTGCCTTGCCTTGTGGTGGCAACGACGCAACATGCGCTCTCCTGCCCCACTGTGGCAGCAAGGTGGGATGGAGTGGGCAGGGTCCTAAATAGGGCTTATTTTGGGGGTAGGGCTTATATTAGGCCTACATTCAAAAATCAGGGTAGGTCTTATTTTTGGGGTAGGTCTAATTTTTGGGAAAACATGGTATGTGTGATTAACCTATTAACCTAAAATCAGTTCTGATATCGCTGACAGCTTATTATTCTAAATAGGAAACCTTCATTTTGTTTGCAAATAATAATATTAAAGATTCTAACTACCAGCAAGAATGAGTCCTTACATTTAAAGAGCACTTGTCATTTTAGATCCATCATGGCAGCGCCTGTTAGTGGGCATCCACTCACCTGCTGCCTGCCACGTCCCTCACCTTGTTGTGTCACTATGGCATCGCCAGCCGTCCCATTAAAGTGAGTGGGACTGTCGGTGAGTCAACAGTAGGTCAGAGGAGCCACTGCGGGACAGAGATGACAGTTGCTCTTTTTAAATTATGATTTAAATCGACTTGATTTAAATCAAATCCATCCTGCTAAAACAGGCATCTCTCTCGCCATCAACTTTTTCCCGGGGTCACCCTGGCACACACTTTCTCCTGCAAGACATGGTTTTGTGGAGAAGAAAGCAGCATGAACAATTAACTCTGGCAGAACCCCAAATGTTTGATTACATGGGGCTGGGCTGTCCTGGATCTTTATGTAGCTATAAAATTTGTTGTTGTTAATTGCGAAGCCGTGTCCGACCCATCGCGACCCCATGGACAACGTTCCTCCAGGTCTTCCTGTCCTCTACCATCTTCTGGAGTCCACTTAAGTTCACACCTACTGCTTCAGTGACTCCATCCAGCCATCTCATTCTCTGTCGTCCCCTTCTTCTATTGCCCTCAATCTTTCCCAGCATTAGGCCCTTCTCCAGTGAGTCCTTCCTTCTCATTAGATGGCCAAAGTATTTGAGTTTCAACTTCAGGATCTGGCCTTCTAAAGAGCAGTCAGGGTTGATCTCTTCTAGGACTGACCGGTTTGAATGCCTTGCAGTCCAAGGGACTCGCAGGAGTCTTCTCCAGCACCATAGTTCAAAGGCCTCAATTCTTTGCGCTCAGCCTTTCTTATGGTCCAACTTTCACAGCCATACATTGCAACTGGGAAAACCATGGCCTGGACTATACGCACTTTTGTTGGCAGGGTGATGTCTCTGCTTTTTAGTATGCTGTCCTAGATTTGCCATAGCTTTCCTCCCCAGGAGCAAGCGTCTTTTAATTTCTTGGCTGCAGTCCCCATCTGAGGTGATCTTGGAGCCCAGAAAAATAAAATCTGTCACTACCTCCATTTCTTCCCCATCTATTTGCCAGGAATTGAGAGGGCCGGATGCCATGATTTTGGTTTTCTTAATGTTGAGTTTCAAGCCAACTTTTGCACTCTCCTTCTTCACCCGCATCAAGAGGCTCTTTAGTTCCTCTTCACTTTCTGCCATTAGAGTGGTATCATCTGCATATCTTAGGTTGTTGATATTTCTCCCGGCAATCTTAATTCCAACTTTTGATTCATCTAGCCCTGCCTTTCTCATGATGTGCTCTGCATATAAGTTAAATAGGCAGGGCGACAGTATACAGCCTTGCCGGACTCCTTTTCCAATTTTGAACCAATCAGTGGTTCCGTGTTCAGTTCTCACTGTTGCTTCTTGACCCGCATATAGGTTTCTCAAGAGACAAATGAGATGGTCTGGTACTCCCATCTCTTTAAGAACTTGCCACAATTTGTTGTGATCCACACAATCAAAGGCTTTTGCATAGTCAATGAAGCAGAAGTAGATGTTTTTCTGGAACTCCCTAGCTTTCTCCATGATCCAGCGTATGTTGGCAATTTGATCTCTAGTTCCTCTGCCTCTTCGAAATCCTGCCTGTACTTCTGGTAGTTCTTGATCTACATACTGCTGGAGTCTAGCTTGTAGGATTTTAAGCATAACTTTACTAGCATGTGAAATGAGTGCAATGGTGCGATAGTTTGAACATTCTTTGGCATTGCCTTTCTTTGGAATTGGAATGTAAACTGACCTTTTCCAGTCCTGTGGCCACTGTTGAGTTTTCCAAATTTGCTGGCAAATTGAGTGTAGCACTTTTACTGCATCATCTTTTTGAATAGCTCAGCTGGAATACTGTCGCCTCCACTAGCTTTGTTGTTGCTCAGATTTTCTAAGGCCCATTTCATATAAAATTGGGAGGGGCCAAACTGGAGAATGCTGCCTCCCCCCCTCATTAGCTGTTTGACAACTGTAGGTGATAGAAAAATGTGCAAACTTTTGAAAGATCCATTAGAAAAAAAATATGGAAAAACAAAATGTTTTTCATTGACCAACCAAAACTGGCAAGGGATTCCAGAGAAATACTATTATCCTAGCTCAGAGGCATAGTAGAAATCTTTGGCTACATAAACCAGCTCAGTGCTTCTCTTTCTGATTATCTCTCCCTCTCCCCCTCTTCCTTCTCTTCTTCAATGTCTTCTAGCTAATTCAGAGCTAAGAATGTACACTTTGAAGATCTTGCACAAACACAGCATTTCCCTGCTATTCAGGAAAACAGGCCCACTTTTCAAATTTTGTTTTGCTAGTTCCTACCAGACAAAAAAATTCTAAAGACAGTAAAAAGAAAGATTTAAAGAAGAGATGTAATAAATGGAAGGGGGAAGAAAGAGAAAAAATGCTGATTAAAGTTAATCATAAAAAAAACTGAGTGAAAAGAGAGAATGGTGATATACAGTTCAGATTTCTCTTCTCTCTGCCTGCCAAGTTGTCTTTCACTTTCTAGTACTGTAGTTGAGATCATTCCGTCATTTATTTCTATTGTGTGGTATATAAAATAACAATATATTTCTTAAATTTCTCCTTAGTCCAATTCTATTCCCCAATTAGTATAATTAGGACTGTTGCTCAAGGATTTCAGCCATCATAATAAAAATGTATTCCATAACTGGCACGTTTGCTGATATTGTTTACCAATGTTGTATTTTTAGGTATTGCTTTTCATATTGTAGAAAACTTAGCTACCATCTGTTCAATTCTTGTTTAGATTTTTTTTATTAAAACATGCATTTTACAAATCAGCTGTTGCAAATAAATCCATCTAATTTATATCTTCACAACAACCGCATGAAATCAGTTAGCTGGAGTAAATAAAAAGGTTATCTCATAAACGTGAATAACTCCAGAAGAATGTATATGAGATTTTAAAATAATTTCACTTTTCATTCATTTCCCCCCCCCATGTATTTTTCTGAACCTTTTCTCAATCTTTTCTAGATGACATTGCCACACTTAATGTCACTCCACAATGTTTTAGACAAGCCTGTGTAATATTTCACAGAGAAGCCATGTTTCATGTTAAAGATAAGGCCCGATTTCAGATCCTCCCCATGGCTTTGGCTATTCTACATGCATTGCCTCTTCCGTGGTTGCTTGAATCCCCTCCTGCACCTCTCTCTTTGAAGGTACTTTCATTGCTTCTGTCCAGTGCAACCTGCACCAAGAAGCACCAGCAGCCACAGCCAAAAACAGTATATGGTCAGAATGAAATGCAACCTGTGGCACAGAAGAGAATCTTCCACTTCTAGCCCCAAAGAAGCAAAGCTACTCTTCTATTGGAAAGAAACAGCTTTGGCTATGGGGAAAGTCCACTGACAGGAGCAATTTGCAGCACAGTGGAAATGGGATAAACCCCACCAGAGAGGAATAAGGAACTGAAGCTCCAAAGATCATAGTTCAACCATTCTTGGACTTAAAGGAAAGTAAATTATAGGGAATCAATCTTAAACTTGTAGAATTCATGTTTCATTAGCTAACAGCATCGATTTTACCTGACGTTTCAAATTGTTCTTTTTAAGGAGAGAAACACATGCATTTAATAATAGTGTGCTGACCTCCTAGCTGTTAAGGCATGCAGGTTTCAAATAAATGACCAAAGTTCAATAAAACAATAAACAGAGCCACTGCCATTAAACGCTCAGCAATTGTCTTAGGGCTGATCTGCTATAAAACCGATGCTGCAGATACCGCTTGCTGTTTTTTTTCGTTCCTTTGGGAGATACAACCTTACCTGGAGAACTGATTAGGGAAAAAGTTTAGCAAGATTTTTTCTTTGTTGGGGGTGCGGGGTAGGGTGGTGGAAATGGCTCATCTCCGGGATTCAGAGCCAGAAAGGGTCTCTTTCCAAAAGAAGAACTACCTCAATCGCTCCAACAGGTCGCCCTTGAACTGCGGGCCATAACTGCACCCCGATCCTGATCGCCGGCAGCCTCGCACGACACATCCCCAGGGTACGGCTTGAGGGACTTGCCTCCGCCCGCTTCCCAGCAGCGCTCCCTCACAGACCCTCTTCGGCTGAGGGGCTCGCGGCGCGCCCTGGCTTCCTTACCTCCGCCAGAGCCAGGAAGCAGCCGCCCACCGCGAGGAACGCCAAGACTGGCGGCATTGTCGGGTCGTTGCTAATCTCTGCGCCGAGGCAAGTTGGAAAGGACTCCGAGGAAAAGGAGCGAAATAGCAGGGAGGAAACCCAGCGGCGAAGAAGCGGGGCTGAGCGGCGGAGCAACGTCGCTTTGTTGCTGCCGTCTGAGGCGTCCAAAATCAGACGGAAGAGCAGGACTGAGCCGCACAAACCGAGGCGAACTTCACGGGCACCGGCTTTAGTCGAAAGAGACGGGAAGCGACGCGCGGCCGGAGAGCCGTGGACCGAGCCGTCCTTCTCCCTTTCCACTCAACCGGAGGCGGTCAGGGCCGAGGTCAGGCGAAGGGTTGAGCTCACAGCGGGACGCGTGGAGAAAGGCAGCTGCTTAGCGACTCCTGCCTAGCTTTCGGGGCTGGTCGCCGACCCGGACTCTTCCGCGTCCACGCGGGACGCTCTCAAGGCAGCGGCGAACCTTCCCGTCTCTTGGAACGGAATTCCCACCCACTCCCGATCCTCTCGGGCGCGGAGGAAGGCAGGTGCAGGGAGGTTCCCTTTGCCGGCCTCAGCTTCAGCTCTGGGGAAGGGGAGGCGGCGGGCCTGGAGACACCAGCTATCTCACTCCCGCCGCCCACCTAGTGCAAATCCCCTTTTCCCATCCTGCAACAGGGATGGTATAAAAATGTAAATAGATAACGAGCCCGGACAAAAAAGGACTTGCAGAGCCACATACAGGCATTAAAAAAAATTAAAGCAACGTGGTGAGCGGGGAGGAGATTGCAGAGCAACAGAATAATTCAGTCCTCGTTGCTGTGAGCGGAATGGACTGTCCCGCCGAATCCGACTTTTTCGACGCAGAACTTTGAAGCAACGGTATAATAAAAAAGCTCCGTTTGGGCCACATGAGCCACCGAAAAATTCATCCCTTTTTAGGGCTGGATGATTCAGGCCCCTAGCTGGTGAATCTTTAAAAAGAAAAAAAAAACACCTTTGGTGGCAAAATTGTGACTGAACCGACAACCTGCAGAGAGGAGGAAAATACGGTAGGAAGCAATGGACATGCTGCAGGAAGCTTCAGTCCTACAACCTGTGTTTCCTTGGAAAGTTAATTCTTCAGAACTCCCTCAAACCATAATCAGGATCATAATTAAATTGACCATATTTCTAGGCTTGGATGTTACCAAACCCAAGCTATAAGATGTATTAATTAAGCCAGTGGTTCTCAACCTTCCTAATGCCGCAACCCTTTAATACAGTTCCTCATGTTGTGGTGACTCCCAACCGCCCATCCAGCTGGCCGGGGGGTATCAAAAACTTGACCCCCCCAAAAAGGAAAAAATGGGAAAGTATAGGTAGTCCTCGACTTAACAGCAATTCGCTTAGTGAATGTTTGAAGTTACAACAGCACTGAAAAAGCGAATTATGATCATTTTTCACACTTATGATTGTTGCAGCATCCCGGGTCATGTGATTTACATTGGATGCTTGACAACTGATTCATACTTAATGACGTTCACAGTGTCCCAGGGTCATGTGATCAATGGCCAGGGGACGTGGCCAACTGATCACTCAGGTTGCAGAATGCCTGGGGGGGGAAATCTGTGGGTCTCTGGGATGGGACTGGGGTGGGTACCTGCCTTCCTTCCCTCCCTTCTCTCCCCTTGTCCCTTCCTTCCTTCTTTTCTTCCTTTCTTTCACCTCTCTCTTAGTCTTTCTCCTTCCCTCCCTCTCCCATTGTTCCTTCCTTCTTTTCTTCCTTTCCTTCAGCTCCCTTAGTCTCTTCCACCTTCCCTCCCTCTTTCCCATTGTCCCTTCCTTCTTTCCTTCCTTTCCTTCACCTCCTTCTTAGTCTCTTCCTCCTTCCTTCCCTCTCTCCCATTGTCCCTTCCTTCCTTCTTTCCTTCCTTTCCTTCACCTCCCTCTTAGCTCCTTCCTTCCTTTCCTCCCTTCCATTGTTCCTTCCTTCCTTCCCTCTCTCATTGTCTCTTACTTCCCTCCCTCTTTGTCCCTTCCTTCCTCCCCCCCTCCATGCCCAGGAGGGGACAAGGGGAGGGGGACAGGCTGCCAGAGGCAGAGGAGAGCTCCGCCCAGCTCACTTGCTCAGCTTCACCAGAAAAGAGCCGAGGTGGCACAGCAGTTAGAGTGCAGTACTGCAGGCCACTTTAGCTGACTGTGTTCAGCAGGTCAGCGGTTCAAATCTCACCGGCTCAAGGTTGACTCAGCCTTCCATCCTTCTGAGGTAGGTAAAATTAGGACCCAGATTGTTGGGGGCAATGTAAATATATATATACATTGCTTACTGGTGTACACCGCTTAGAGAGTGCTTGCACTTAAAGCGGTATATAAGTCTCATAAATAAATAAATAAAACAAGCTGCTTGCTAAGTTAACAGAAGCCCCAGGATCAGCACCGGGCTACAGCTGATTCACGCTTCTGCTAAATTAGCAAGCGGCATGTTTTTTAGCAAAGCTGGAGCAAGATTGCTGGGCAGGAGCCAAGGAGAGCTTCTACAGCTGACCTGCTTCTTGGCTGCTCTGCAAAAGCGTGGATCAGCTGCAGAGGTTCGCCCTGATCCTGGACAAGAGGGAAGGAAGGAAGGAAGGATGGAAGGGACAAGGGGAGAGAGGGAGGGAAGGAGGGACAAAGGGAGGTGACGGAAAGGAAGGAAGGAAGGAAGGGACAAGGGGAGAGAGGGAGGGAAGGAGGGACAAAGAGGGAGGCGAAGGAAAGGAAGGAAGGAAGGGACAATGAGAGAGGGAGGTAAGGAGGAAGAGACCAAGTGGGAGGGAAGGAAAGGAAGTTCCAGCCAACAGAGGCTTGGCAGCCCGGCTGCCAAGAAACAGAAGAGCGCAAAGCCAAGGAGAAGGTGGCGGTTTCCTCCCAAAGGGGGCTCCTTTTTTCCACCCCTTCCCTGGGTTTGTGGAGAATTTCTCGTCACCAACACTGACAGGTTCTCCTTTGAGCCCGCCACGAGCTTTCTTGCCCCCTTTGCTTCCCCACCCCGCTTTCATGAGGATTGTGGCGCCCTTGGGAAGCCGATCGTGCTTTCAAGCTTAGGAGAGGAGGAGGAGTCCCTTCCTCCTTCCCTCCCTCTCTCCCTGTCAAGCCCCGGCAGGCTCGACATGAACGGGCAGAAGAGGAGTCGAGGACGGGCGGGGTGGCAAAGGAGACCGATGGACGTCGCCAGACCTCCCAGCTGACAAGCGCAAGTTCGGGGGTCTCCAGCTGACGGGCGCAGGAGTTGGGTGCTGCGGCGGCCTCCCCTTCGCTGACCTGCATGCACGAGAAGTCAATCCGGTTGCTGCACAATGAGTCTCCGGGGAGGGCGGGGCCTTGCTCTGCGCCTGCACTCTTCATGCGCCCCCTGCAGGGCATATTTGGTAGAGTTTGTGCAGACTGCTGCCAAGCAGCATATTTTCCACAAACAAGTGAGGTGGAGCGGAGAGGGGGAGGGAGAAAAGGCGACCACTGTGAAAGGCTCGTGAGACCTCCAAAAGGGTCGCGACCCACAGGTTGAGAACCGCTGATTTAAGCAGAAGTTCTTCTTTATTTTCTTTGACTCTACACGAAGGCATTAGCACAGAAGCACAAAGAAACTGTAGAGATCAAGCCAAATATAATCTTTCAAAATATAATCTTTATGTATAATCCATCTCTCATATATAATAGCTATTGTCCTTTTATTTTTGCTTGCTTTCTGTATGTGCTCCATTGTATTCTAAATTGTGCTGACCAAAGAAAATGTTTCTGTTACTTTAAACTGTGTTGTTTAAGAGAAAGCCTAAGAAATTGCAATCTCCCACGCACCCCTCTCTCCTTGGATTGCATATCTTTCCCTTCTCTTTCTCTGCTATGGCTTTAAAATGTTAACAGCTCTCTACCGGCCTGCAAAGTAATAAAGTTAATGGGTTAATTGCCACCTATTGTGCTAGTGTGTGTTCAAGCTTAGAGATGCAGAAATATAAGCCAGGATAGAGATTCAAAGGAACTTTTTAGATGCGCAGAAACCTTGTGATGTTTATTGGTTATAAAAAGCAAAAACTTTTTTGATTAGTGCTCTCCATCTTCTCTGCTGTCTAAAGGAGAGTGGAGTGCCCAGCATATATTCTTTGATCAAAGAAAAATAAAGCTGTATTCTGATTCAGAGGCCTCGTGTTCAGAGTCTCATTGGGATTTATTTGGATTCTGAGCTGGAAAACCTGACAAAACTGACAAAAACCCAGTAGCTATATTGCAGCAGCTTTTCTAATAATTTCCCAGAAGCTCTGGGCAACAAGTGGGAATTCCGGGGAACTGTAGATTGTGTGTATGTGTGCCTCTGAAGAGATTATAGGACAGCGGTTCTCAACCTTTGGGTCGCGACCCCATTTGGGGTCGAACGACCATTTTACGGGGGTTGCCAAATAATGCGATCCGCCATTTTTTCCCTCGGGGCGGGGCCGCGCATGTACACCGCGCATGGGGTGGCACTGCGTATGCGCGCCACGCATGGGGCGGTGGCGCGCATGCGCGGCGCGTCCTTATGACGGGGTCGCCGTATAAAAAGGTTGAGAACCACTGTTATAGGAGAACCATGTTAAGTCTTTGGTGACAAATCAGAGTCTGGTAGCACCTTTTCCAATTAACATATTAAGAGGTGTAAGCTTTCATGAACTGCAGCTCACTTCATCAGATGCAAACTCCTGATTTTACCTTTAAGATCTGCTTATATGACACACGAGATGCTTGAATAGAAGGAAAGCAACTGCACCATGCTCCAGTTCCCAGGCTTTTCATGGGCAACACAGGAGTTGGCAAGCTCAATGAAATTGTGAAAGAACCAACAAAGTACTCCTTTTCAAGTTGGACTCACCCATTCCATCCTTTTTCTAAAATTCATGCAAAGATATTATTACCCAATGTTTTAATACCTATTTCCAAATATGTATTATACATTTGAGTTGAAATTTTGTTAAAACATTTGGAAATGGTCTAGATCAGCGGTTCTCAATCTGTGGATCGCAACCCTTTTGGGGGTTGCACGAGCCTCTCACAGGGGTCGCCTAAGACCATCAGAAAACACATATTTCTGATGGTCTTAGGCACGGCTTGCCAATCACCTTCTCTCCCTCCCCCCCCTCTGCTCCACCTCACTTGTTTGTGGAAAATATGCTGCTTGACGGCAGTCTGCATGAACTCTACTAAATGTGCCCTGCAGTAGGCGCATGAAGAGCGCAGGCGCAGAGCAAGGCCCCGTCCTCCCCAGAGACTCATTGTGCAGCAACCAGATTGACTTCTTATGCATGCAGATCAGCGAAGGAGAGGCCGCCGCAGCATCCAACTCCTGCGCCCGTCAGCTGGCGACCCCTGAACTTGCGCTTGTCAGCTGGGAGGTCTGACGACGGCCACCAGTCTCCTTTGCCACCCCGCCAGTCCTTGACTCCTCCGCCCGTTCATGTCGAGCCTGCCGGGGCTTGACAGAGAGAGAGGGAGGGAAGGAGGAAGGGACTCCTTCTCCTCTCCTAAGCTTGAAAACACGATCGGCTTCCCAAGGGCGCCACAACCCTCATAAAAGCGGGGGGGAAGCAAAGGGGGCGAGAAAGCTCGTGGTGAGCTCGAAGGAGCACCTGTCACCATTGGTGACAAGAAATTCCCCACAAACACAGGGACGGGATGGAAAAAAGGAGCCCCCTTTGGGAGGAAACCGCCACCTTCTCCTTGGCTTTGCGCTCTTCTGTTTCTCGGCAGCCGGGCTGCCAAGCCTTTGCTGGCTGGAACTTCCTTTCCTTCCCTTCCTCTTGGTCTCTTCCTCCTTCCCTCCCTCTCTCCCCTTGTCCCTTCCTTTCTTCCTTTCCCTCACCCCCCTTTGTCCCTCCTTCCCTCCCTCTCTCCCCTTGTCCCTTCCTTCCTTTCCTTCACCTTTCTTTGTCCCTCCTTCCCCCCTCTTTCCCCTTGTCCCTTCCGTCCTTCTTTCCTTCCTTCCCTCTTGTCCAGGATCGGGGCAAACCTCTACAGCTGATATGCGCTTTTGCAGAGCAGCCAAGAAGCAGGTCAGCTGTAGCAGCTCTCCTTGGCTCTTGCCCAGCAAACTTGCTCGAGCTTTGCTAGAAAACATGCCGCTTGCTAATTTAGCAGAAGTGTGAATCAGCTGTAGCCCGGCGCTGATCCTGGGGCTTCTGCTAACTTAGCAAGCGGCTTGTTTTCTGGCGAAGCTGAGCAAGTGAGCTGGGCGGAGCTCTCCTCTGCCTCTGGAAGCCTGTCCCCCTCCCCTTGTCCCTTCCTGGGCATGGAGGGGGGGAGGAAGGAAGGGACAAAGAGGGAGGGAAGTAAGGGACAATGAGAGAGGGAAGGAAGGAACAATGGAAGGGAGGGAAGGAAGGGACAAAGAGGGAAGGAAGGAACTAAGGGTGGGGAAGGAAAGGAAGAAAAGAAGCGACAATGGGAAAGGAAGGGAAGGAGGAAGAGACTAAGGGAGGTGAAGGAAAGGAAGGAAAGAAGGAAGGGACAATGGGAGAGGGAGGGAAGGAGGAAGAGACTAAGAAGGAGGTGAAGGAAAGGAAGGGACAATGGGAAAGGGAGGGAAGGAGGAAGAGACTAAGGGAGGTGAAGGAAAGGAAGGAAAGAAGGAAGGGACAATGGGAGAGAGGGAAGGAAGGAGGAAGAGACTAAGAAGGAGGTGAAGGAAAGGAAGGAAAGAAGGGACAATGGGAAAGGGAGGGAAGGAGGAAGAGACTAAGAAGGAGGTGAAGGAAAGGAAGGAAAGATGGTAGGGACAATGGGAAAGAGGGAGGGAAGGAGGAAGAGACTAAGGGAGGTGAAGGAAAGAAAGAAAAGATGGTAGGGACAATGGGAAAGGGAGGGAAGGAGGAAGAGACTAAGAAGGAGGTGAAGGAAAGGAAGGAAAGATGGTAGGGACAATGGGAGAGAGGGAGGGAAGGAGGAAGAGACTAAGAGGGAAGTGAAGGGAAGAAAGAAAAGAAGGAAGGGGCAAGGGGAGAGAAGGGAGGGAAGGAAGGCAGGCACCCACCCCAGTCCCATCCCAGAGACCCATAGATTCCCCCCCCCACAGGCATTCTGCAACCTGAGTGATTAGCTGGCCACGCCCCCTGGCCATTGATCACGTGACCCTGGGACACTGTGAACGTCCTAAGTATGAATCAGTTGTCAAGCATCCGAATGTAAATCACATGACCCTGGGGATGCTGCAACAATCATAAGTGTGAAAAATGTTCATAATTCGCTTTTTCAGTGCTGTTGTAACTTCAAACATTCACTAAGCGAATTGTTGTTAAGTCGAGGACTACCTATACTTTCCCATTTTTTCCTTTTTGGGGGGGTCAAGTTTTTGATACCCCCCGGCCAGCTGGATGGGCGGTTGGGGGTCACCACAACATGAGGAACTGTATTAAAGCGTCGCACATTAGGAAGGTTGAGAACCACTGGTCTAGATGGTAGTTGTCTGTTTGCACCTTTGGATAGCAAGATATAACAATCAAATGTATGTAATATCTCTCCCGATAACCGTAGTACATAAGTGACTCAAATCAATCTTCTCATTTTACAATTCCAACATTAGTATTTTGAGACAAGGATGAAATAAACCAGGTGGGCACAACAGATAATATTTCAATTATTTTATTGTTACACTCTCTATACATAATTTTGTAAATGGACAAATGTATTTAAATAGCTTAACATATCAGAATCATAAAAAAAATCTCAACTGATAAAAATATGCACATTATATACATTAAATAAATAATCTGAAAATATTTTATGGTTAACATGGTATTTTTTAACATTTTGATTCAATTATTTTTCCCAATTGTAACACAGATAATTTGTTGGAGTATATTAAACAATGCCCATTGTTTAGGTTGTAGGAATATGGATCACCTATTAAGTTGCGTGTTATGCACATAACCCCTTACCATTGCTAACTGAATAGTTAATGAAGTATATCTTTCCCACAATTATAGGCTTAATTAGACACAAAAGACACAAGAAATCTATACATATCAAAATTAAAAGGAACATATCAGAGTGAGTACAACTTGAATACTGTTCAAAATATTTGCTTCCAGAATACTGTGTTAACACTCCATATCAATTTAAAGAGGTGACAAACTAAATAACGTATCAAGATTTGGGGGACCACCATACAAATTTCTGGTATAAAATGTTGAGTGGTATTTATTATTTTTTTCAAAATGTAAAGAAATCACTATTAACAGAATTTGAAATGTTATGGACAATCTTCAACAGAATTCATTTTAAAAAGAAAAAAACTGCTTTACTTTCTAGCTAAGGTGCTCCTGAATATTTTTCCATGATGCAGAACTCCAATCACCCTTAATTCTTGTTGGAAGTTACATTAGTTGGGTGTATTGTGTATATCAGGACAGATGCGTGTGTAGGGTGTACATGTGTGTATATGCTTCAATTATGGCAAGGAAGTTACATTAGAATTCGAATATGACATTTTCAGTTGCTACTTGTGTATTAATATGCATATTCATTACTCACAACTGCCTACAAATATTTTGACCTCTGGATAATTAGCAAAAGAAGTGATCCATGGAAAGTTACTTCATGCTATATTTTGTTCTTTAAATTCAGACATTTGTTTCAAATTACTTTGTACCAACTAAATACTAATACTGCTGCTTAAGTAATGAATAATTAAGGAATGTGTTTTTTCACTGATATCAAAGCTAATGACTTTTACTCAATAGCCCTAAATAAATAAATAAATAAAATGAATATAAACAGAATAAAAACTTGGTTATAAACATTAATTTATTCAAATGATTATCTGGTTTCATATAAAAAATTTTATTACTTCAGACAAATTTAAACAAGACTAGTCACAAAAGCAGATTTAAGATTTTAACTTCCCCATGAAAAATCCAACCTACAACCTAGTCCACACATGCATCATCAACTGTCTCTAAGCCAGAATTTAATGACTCCTTGGAATGCTGTAATTTTCCTTAGGCTATGAAAAATAGTGTAGGTTTAAGGCTCCTGGCTGCAACCAGAAGAGTAATCAAAAGGGAAAACTTACATCAATTCAACCAACAACTTGGGCTCAAGCCAAGTGGTAGACAATCAGTAAGGCTACAAATTTATCTGCTTAATGACACATGTTTTTAATGTAGTAAACATTTTGTATTTACAAAAAATACTAAAAAAAGTGCTTACTCTCAATTTGTAAAAGTACCCAAATCTTTACCCATGAAGTCTAATTTGCCACCCACCCATATCCTCCTCATACCTCCTCCTGTTTCTTTTCTTGTTCAGAGCATCTACCACAACTGCAAATGTTTTGTGGTGCCAAAGGAACTACTGTTTTAACAGCCTAATTTATTAATACAACCTGAGTATGTGCAGCACAGCAACATCAATAGTACATTCCTCAAATGGCGCTAAAATGAAAAGAAACTAGGATAATGTTTTTATCAAGTAGCTATTAGTTATTGAAGTAAAATAAAATCTGATCAAAAACATCCCAATATTTTGCTGTGACAAAAAGAGAGAATGGAATAAGAGTTAAAGGCATATTTTAAAGTAACACCTAGTGGTTTGAGACTGACACTCAACCACAGAGGTTCCACTTGAGAAAATATTTACCTTTGGGGCACATATATATTTGAACCTGAACTTTTCTGAAATTTGTTTCAAGCCTAAATTAGAATTCATAAAGAGAAGTAGCCCTCCAATAAAATATCAGACCATACAAAAACTGTACAACATTAAAACAGGGCTCCAAATGGCCATATGGGATGTATGAAATGATTAAAATAATCAAAATACTGCTCAACGGAAAATTGCAAAATAAATCCAGTGCGTAACAAATCACACAATACACAATAACGCTTACAAAATAAACTCCTACCACAGGGGCAGCACTATTAACAGTCTCGCTTGGTTCCTCATGATTAAAGACAACAGAATCAAAACTGCAGTTGGCGGGGCCAGTATGCCCCCTATGATTAAGACCATTGTTTTGATTGTTCACAAAAGCCACTGGCTAATCAGTGCATCAATACAATGCCGCGTAATTTCTGACAAGCTCCCCCTTGGTCCCAGACCTGTCCATTTCAGGTTTCGTGGAAGTTAACATTCTGATTCGGAAAACCAAATGCTTCTTCCACTGCGGTGCTGGCATCTCAAGAGCAAATTCATATGGCAAGAAAGCCTAGCTATGAAGGCTGTAGCAGAAGACCCTTGAGCTGCTGATGTCAGAGGTGAGCTGAGGATGGGAATGGAGAAAGACAGTCCTCTGTTATATCCTTTTTGAATCAGAAGAAATCATTCCGTTGTACCATTTTATCTTAGCAGTTCAAGCCCAGGCCTGTCCAGTGATCCGGTACCATCAAAAAGTACTTATCCATTGCTTCACAAAATCTAGTACGGTACAATTCCGGAGATACCACAGTTGGCATTTTACCTAATAATGCAAATGAAGAAAAAGATCCTTGAAAATGTTATAATAAATAATACTTTTAAAACATCCAATATTTGGCAGCTGGGAAAGGAGGAAAATGCAATCAATATTGATTAGGAATTTTTTTTGGACCTACCTTGTCCTCCTAAGATCCCTGTTGACTTCACCACCATTTCAAGTTTTTTATCCCAAGTAAATGTGCGAATGTAATCTGATGTAAAAAAGTACATAGCATTAGGTAATTACACAAAGAACATTTTGGTAAGATAGGATATCTTTATTGCCTTTCCTAGGCATTATGAGACTGCAACCAAATTCTAGTAGTTTGCCAAAATGCCTTTTAAAGTATAAATTATACTTAAACTATAAATTTTATACAGTAACAATTCATTACACTCAAGTGATACTCAGCAAAGTTGTCTCCAGTGCATACTTCTGACCTTCATTAAAATAAAACATGTTTTACAATGGGCAACAACATAGCCACCACAAGGAGACTATTCCTCAGGGTTATATATTGAGAATAGGCTCCAAGGAATTTGATACACAGGACCAGAATTTGAAGGGTTTAACAAACGTTAACTGAAGAAATATGTGTTTTGAGTTAAATGAAACAAACATTATCAAGTTTATGAAATTTATACATTGCTGTAATCTAACTACAGGAATTCCTCGAGTTACGAATGTAATAGAACCTGCCAATTCCATTCATAATTCAAGGATTCGTAGAAGTGAATCTCCTACCTTGAATGCGATCACTCCCTGCTTTCACCCACATATTCACTAATCGAATGTGTGTGTCGTTAAGTGCACATGAGGTATCTCAGGGTGAGGAAGGCCATGGGGGGGGGGGCTTAGGAAACAGGCCACTTGCTTAAGACCACCAAAGGCCTCTCTGGACCCATTGAGAAACCTCATGCAATTGCTTCCCCTCCCATCCTGCCATGCTGGGTCACTTAACTTATGAGGATCTGTCTCCTCTCTGCTGCATTTTTTTTTTTTTTTTGATGATTTCTCTTCCAGCATCCAATTGGCTTGCAAATGCTTTTCACGTGCTGAGAGTGAAATGTTCTGAGCAATGTGATCTCACTCAGGCCACAAGATCATGGTGCCCAGAAGCCTCCAGTCTCAGTGTAAAAAGTTTGAAAGCAGCAAAATCACGCTGACTCAAAGAGTTCCATCGGGACTTCCAGTTTGCCATCACAGCCTGGGCAGACGCATGGAGATGAGCCTCGTCTCCAGCATCTGGTTTTATCCCGCTGGGGGACCTTGGAAAGGGTCGAAAGTCACCCTGTAGGGGCAATGAGCAAGGAGAGGACCCCCGCTTGATCGCGGAAGTGGGGCAGCCCTTCCTCTTGATCTGGGGCAGCTCTTCAAACCGACGGGGAAAAGACCAGCTATAGTAATATGGCTAAAAGACCAGCTATAGTAATATGGCTCATCACTAAGCTGCACTTTGAAAGCAGAGATCTTATCTTATCTTTACCCTAAGTACTTTCTTCCTGTAAAAGCTCTTTGAAGTATCTTCCCCCTGTGAGGAGAAAGGGAAGGGAATTTCTATCCCACCATCTAAGAACAGCGGCGTCTGAGTACCCAGGGGAATCAAAGCATTAAAAAGAACAACTGTAATCTAATTGGATTTATATTAAATGTTTCTGAAACTTGGGGACCAAAAATTTTCCTATTTTTACTGGAGATTCTTGTTTTTATCTACAAAAAAGAAATATAATTGGAAAAGGAATTAGAAAAATTCAGGACTTAAAAAACCTTAAATGGCACCAGTGACATCTTGTGGTGAAGCTTGGTATGGCAATTTGTTATTTCCCAAAAAGAGACTTGGCTCAAAGCCCAGAACATAGATAAGATTTTCTTGACCTTGGCACCATCTGTGAGATACCCAATTGTAAGAGAACAGCTGGGCAGTAAAATTGGCCTACTTGAACTGTGAATGTAAACCTTTACTGACTTTTGCTTAACAAATAACTTTTACTAGAAAGACTATTCACAAATAAGTGAAAGAGATGGATGAAGACAAGGGCAAAAATCTTTCTATGTTGAAAGCAATACATGAAACCATTCTTTCAGCTTGTGACAAAATAAGACCTAAAATAAAAGACCAAGATGCCACCTCAGATGCACAAAGCCAAATTCTGACTACTACCAAAGAACCAATAATGCAGGAGATAACAGAAGAAGCGGGACAACCAAATATTATGACAGAGGACTCAATTGACCAACAAATACAGCTGATGGAAAATCCAGAAAAGGAAGTGACAACATTGAAAATGGAAATGACTTTCTATATGAATCAGAAGGAATTTGAGAAAGAAGTAGAACAGATTGAATTGAAGACAAATATATTAGAGCAAACATGGGTAACTGGAATAACAGGGAGACAATTTAATGAATACAAATGGGCTAGTCCTTCCAGAAAACGGGCAATCAAATGGTCTCCTTTAATTCAAATAACATGTATAAGTATAGAGGGAGATCTATTTGATGATTTAAAGGCGCTGATATGGAAGCCTAGTTGGCAAAAAAAGAAAGCTAGAATAAGGTTGAAAAAATTGGGGCTTTGACTCATTAGAGGGGATTTTACATTACCAATTAGTGGGCTAAAGGGAGATGTTGAGACAAAGGGAATTTTGGTTATTAGATTTAAAATATTTGGAAATCAGTCGAAAATAAGGATTTTATCGGTTCAATATTTAAAAATTAGATCTAAAAGGGAAAAGAAAATTAAATACTATGAATATGTTTGATTTATTGATTAACCCAGGCAATATATATAATGGGTTTTGATTTATTAAAAGGGATATTGTGTTATTAAGTAGATAATTTAATATGCTCGGAAATAGATAACTCTTGGGAAATAGAACAAGATTATATCTAAATAGATAAAATGTGTATTTTGGATATTATAGTTTGCTATGTAGTGAAATAAGGGAAATTTTGGTTACCCAAAGTCTGAAAATTATAAATATCAAAGGTTAAATTGGAATATTGGCAAGAAATTAAAAAATGAGTAAAAATGAATAACAGGATATGGATTGTTTATGAAGATTGAATGTAATTAAGATATGTATAAGCTAAAAATTTATTGATAAATGTAATAATGATTTTATTACTGAATTGATATAATTAGAAATGTACTAATCTGAACATGAGGCAGTAATTGTTAAGGGAAAAAGAGAAGAAATATTTGATGTTGTAGCCTGAGATTTGTACTAAGATTTTGTTATTGAGCTATTGATTAACCCAGTCACCATGTTGCTTTTTAAATATTCAAAAGTAAAATTGGAAAATTAATAAAATATTATATATATATATATATATATATATATATATATATATATATATATATATATATATATATATATAAATAAATAAAAGAGTTCCATCGGCTTGTAAACTTTTTATGCAGAGACTGGAAGATCACAGAGCCCAGAACGTTTCACTCTTGGTGTGCGAAAAGCATTTGCAAGCTGACAGGATGCTTTGAGACAGTGCAATTTCGCTGCCTCAAAGAGTCCCATTGGATTGCAAAATATTTATGTGGAGACTGGAAGCTTCTGGACACCGTAATCTTGCGGCCTAAAGTCCTGCGAGATCAAGGTGCTCAGAACATTTCACTCCTGGCGCGTGAAAAGCATTTGCAAACCAATTGGATGCTGGAAGAGAAATCATCAAAGAAACCGCAGCAGAAAGGGGACAGATTCTCACAAGGTAAGTGACTGGGCATGGCAGGATGAGAGGGGGGAAGCAATTGTGGGGAGCAGGGGCAGAATAGGCAGGGTGAATGTTGCAGTACCTCTGTGGTCATTCATAAGGGCGAATAACTGCCATGGTGCTGCAACATTCGTAATTTCAGGATTGTATTGTAAACACTAGGGACGCTTATCGCGTAACTTCAAACAGGTGCTAAGTGAACTGTTGTAACTCACAGATTACCTGTATAGATGGTCCTTGACTTACAATCACCTAAGTTGATGGACCCCCCCAACACCCCGGTCCCAAACTTATGGCCACTGCAGCCTCCCCACAATCATTTGCTCTTACAACTGTGCAACAAAGCTGCAGTGACACTCCCCCTGAATCCCCACAGGCCTTGGGCCTACTTCACATCCCACTGGGCTTCATAATCTCCTCACTTACTTTTCAAAGATTTCTGGTGTCCAGAGCTTGAATTAGGGAAGGAGGCCAGGCCGCTCTGTTGTTGGGTTATGTGGCATGATCCCAGAAGTGGCCATTTTTAGGATACCTGCATTGAATTGTGGCCACTTGGAAAATGGCAGCCACATGGCTCAGCCACAGAGCGGCTTTCTTTGCTTCACTAATCCGAGCTCCAGAAATCTTTGAAAGATAAGTGCAGAGTGGGTGACATGGAGTGAATAGGGATGTGTGGGATCTTATGAGGTGGGAAGCAGGGCCAAGGCCTATGGGGACCTCAAGGGTGGAATATAGAGAAAAGGATGCCTCAGGAAGTGGGGATGGCCTTGAGAGGCCTGGGGCAAGGCCTCCGCTAGACCTTCCAGGTCCTTTCTCAGGGGCCCTGAGACATCTCATGCTCTGCTTAACGACCTGCTTGTTCATTTAATGCCTGTACTAGGGGAAGCAGGATGGGAGGATTGTGAGGTGATCTTGTGGGCACTTCACTTACAGCCATCATGACTTCTGACCGTAAAATGCAGGCTACATTTCAGTTGTGAGTCAAGGATTACCTGTATTTGATTGAAGTATTGTCAAGATTGATTTACAGCATAATTTCTAAAGAATAATTTCTCACTCTATCACTTTCCTTGTAACATTTTTTGATATAATAGAGGTAGTCAAGTTATAGGCCACAACTGATCTAAACAGAATATCAGCCAACCCAAATAATTTGCTTTATGTAAATAACTGTTTAATGGACAATCACACCTTGGTAATTTGCAGACAAAGATAACATACCGATAATTCCAACAAGAAGTTCATTAGTGGTATCATCCCTGCCCACGAGAAGAGAATAATCGATTATGAGATGGCTGGAGAGGAAGTAAGAATCGCTGTGAATGGAAGCCTTCAACACAGCCTTGGAGTGAGAACGGATGTACAAGGGATTATCACGCACCAACTTCAACAAATTTTCATCCAGCAGAACCACATCACAACTTTCTTTTCCTGTGTCAGTTTTCACATTTCTATTTCGCAGAGAACCTTTCAGGTCAAAAACCTAATAATAAAAGGAAACAATACACTAATTTAACAGACGGAGAATTTTTCAGAATTCTGAATTCAAAAGGAAGAGTTAATTTATTTAATTTAAAAAATCTGTAGTATGCATATTACAGGATTTGTAATTTATAAGCTTGGCAAATTTCTAAAAAGCATAATAACCTCGTGAGAGCAGGAGTGTGTACATTTAATAAATATTTTAATAAATAAATGTAATTCTCATTCATGCCAGATTTAATATTGTACTAATTGTACAACAACTCTCTAAACTAAAAGCTCACATGGCTACTTCTGATATCACAACATCCTTTATTTAGAACTTATTTAAATCTCTGTTAGATTATCAGTGCAATCTGTACCGGTTATGTCTATGTTTTTTCACTGATAAAATGATCAGAATATTTCTAAATAAAAATTAGATTCCTGGCAGTGATGGGGAGACTGATTTGGTCTGTCCTGTGGTATTCTGGAATTTACAATGATTAGGGAGCAGATACACCCCTGCTTCAATGTGAGAAAGTGCTATTGAACCCATAATCCTGCTTGCTCTTTGATAATGAAGGCAGCAAAAAAATGCTTATTTCATTGCTTCCATTACAGCCTCAAGTAGTAATTCAACAGAACTATTCTAAATAACCTTGGGATCATTTACTCCCGTCAATTTTATTTTCCAGTCTTCACACTTCTGCTAGGGTAGTTTTTCAGAATAATTTAGGGATAGAACCGTGACTGTTATAGGTGTCAGCCAGGAACCAAGTTCATAAGATCAGTTCCACTTTTTTCAGCCTAAAAATATGGACAAAATGCTTGTAGTGATTCATTTGACCACCTTCTCCTTTGTCCAGGGACTGTTGTATGCATCATTTCATAAGTGGACAATGGCTTCTGCCTTTAAAGGGCCAACTGAATGAACCTTCCTGAAAAGAAAAGAACCTCTCTGGTAGCAGAGGACTGCAAATGTTGCTCAGTTTATACAGCAGCAATAAACTGACTACATGCCCATCTGTGTTTTCAGATCTGTTCTACCTTGAATTCCAACCTGGTTACAGGGCAGAAGTGGCTTTGATCACTCTGACCTATAATGGGCAGATGAGGCAGAGAATATAGCACCTCTATTCTATTACTTCTCATGGTATTTGTAGAGTAGAGTAGAGTAGAGTAGAGTAGAGTAGAGTAGAGTAGAGTAGAGTAGAGTAGAGTAGAATAGAATAAAATAGAATAGGAGTTGGAAGGGACCTTGAGGTTTTCTAGTCCAGCCCCCTGCTCAAGCAGGAGAACCTATACTGTCTCAGACAGGTGAATGTCTAGCCTCTTCTTAAAAATCTCCAGTGATGGAGCATCCACAATTTCTGAAGGCAGAACATTTCTTGCAAAACATCCCACAGATTTGGGGCACTTTCAGTCATGATTTCCATTTCTCTCTGTGTGACGGATTCCAGGGAACAATATTGGCAATCTTGTTATGGAGAATCTCAAAGTATCATCCTCTTTCTAGTGCTGTTCAGAGTCTACATGAAGCCACTTGATGTGGTTATTAAAGGATTTGGAGGATATGCTAACCATAGTCAGGGCTATTTCTCTGAATGAGGTGGAGCCTTGCATAATCCAATCTGTCCTTAACTGTGATGCTGGACTGGATGAACTAAAACTAAAATCCAACAAAATGACTAAAGATAAGTGGCTCCCAAGTCTAGGAATGAAGAAAATGCTCTAGTGAAAGACATGTTCCTCTGAAGGAACCCAGTTGCAGCTAATGATATTCTCAAATCCCTCATTGTCATTAGAGGAACAGGTGATCTTCATATCTAGGAATGCTGACTGTCAACTTCCCTTCCTGGTCTGGGAAAGTTTGGCCACAATGATTTATACACTGATAACCTCTAGAATGGATTACCCTAATACATTCTAAGTGGCGCTGCCCTTGTAATTGGTTCAAAAACCACTTCAGGATTCCATGCAAAAAGCAATGGATAAATAACGAAATACCTTTTATATGCTGCATTGAGGTAGGGCATGTCATAATTTCCTACCAAAGCAATTAAACTGGAACAGAACTCCCTGATGGAGATCCATTACAGAGGAAAACATTGCAGGTAATTCCTCAATATTCTCAAGTATAACAAGTTGCTATTGAAAGCAATAGTCTTATTAAATCTTCCATAGCAACCCAGAAGAAAAACAACACTTCCCATTTCTGTAACAAAACACTTATTCACCTGAGCCATTTTTCTGCCATAGAAGAGGTTTTCCATGACCAGCAGATCAAGCTTCTTTTCTGTGTTGTTCTGAGAGTTTTTATAGCCTATTCGATAAACACCAAGAATCTTGGCCAAAGCTGTGGGTTTCTGAAATAAAGTGTTAATTTATTCATCAATTGCTCTAGGTTCTATTCTCCAATGCAAATGTTTATCTAGATTTAGTAAGAAAGAATACAGACACTAGTTAAAAATATATAAAGAATTACACAAAGTCAACACTGTCTTCCTTCAAAAGGCATTCTCAGCTGATATTACTCAAAGGTAAGTCAGTAAATAAGTAAATAAGCTATGTTTATTTCTCTCGTATATTTCTACTTGATCCTGATGCTTCCTCTTGGTTTTAAAGGCAAGAGATAAAATATTCCACAAATCTTACCTTTTGTTGAACGGCATTAGTAATGTATGTGAAGTAATGCGGGGCAAAGTCAAGAAAGGACTGGACTTCCAGGCGAGGCATTTGTTTCAAGATGAATCGGTCATCTAAAGAAGAAAATAAGTTGATCTACTGTATGAAGACGTAACTACAATTCCTCCAAACATCATCAGTGAAAACAGAAGGATTTCTCTGACCCAAGTTTTATTTCTAGTTACTGAGATGTCATCTCAGAGTTGTTCACATGCCATAACAAGGAAGAGCCCAGGTCTACGAGGTATTGAGAAGTTATCTACCTTCAGTCACATAAAAAGCAGCTCCTGATTTCCCTCCTCTTGCCTGCCAAGGCAGTGAGTGAGAGAGAGAATGGATAAAATCTTCTTCACTACTTCCAAGAATCACTTCACGCATTTTATGGAACTCCCCTGCATAGTAAATCCTGCAGTAAAACTTGGCATTAGCATCGGAGAATTCTGCAAAAACACACAAAATAAATATTTTATTTTTTTAATGGATTAAATAAAGGAAGTTCCATTTTCTAGATTAGATGCTTACATTATTTTCCTAACTCAGACCGGAGGATGATCTATGTGGTTCATCAACTGTGCAATAGTAATCTGCGGTATGTGAGTGTATGTACACATACAAAGAGAGAAACAGGAGATTATGGAAATTGGGACTTTCTTCAAGCAAAAGATGTTTTTGATAATTGAGCTATAGACCTGAGGTCCCTTTTATTCATGAAAAAATGGCTACGTATGGAGGGGAAAGTATTACTTGTCATAAATAGTCATTTATATTAATTACAATCAAAAAGTATGAAAAGGAATCTCAGTATTTGCAGACCTGAACTTTATGTGCTCATTCCTTTTCTTCTTACTCCACTGCATTTTTAAGAAAAGGTTTTGAAGCAAGAACGAATTAGGTATTCATGTAGCCGCAGCATTTAAACTGTGCTACACAAATTATTTTAACAGTACATGTAATTAATAGAAGAGAATTTGTGTAGCTCAGGGTTGAACTATGGAGTCCTTGGTGTTCTATTTGCTTGCAGATGCTTCATTATCCAACTAGGGAATATCATCAATGCGAGTGAGGGTGGGGTTTGCTTCCTGTTTATATGCAATAGCTTGCCCTGCCTGTGTTGGTGGGGATATAGTTTCTCCTGATAGTTTCTTGATTAAGGCATTATTTTCCGCCTGATTATTTGTCTGGTGTTAATATCTGCTTATGTGGGTTGACTGCTAGACTGCTTTTTTTCTTCCTTCTTAGCTTTCCTCCAAATGGTACTGTTCTCAAATAGCACAGTGCTGTTTTTCAAATTGTGAGCAGCCTTCTTGTGAAATTTTAGAAGGCCTCAGAAACCTTCCAAAGCACCACAAGAACAGAATGCACTAATTAGAGAATGGTGTGTGCTATTTGAAGAACAGCATAGATGCCTTGGGAAGATGGCCTGGCAAGCCAGCAGCCAGGACACACCTCTAGGAAGAAAGGTTAGGAAGTACAGTATGTCAGGTGGATCTGGTTGGGCCTGCAAAATATTGGGGCTGTGTGCTGTGATGGTCGGTTGTGGTACATGGTTGAGATGTCACTGGTGGAACAGGACCTGAAGTAGTGGCCTAGTGTGTGTGTATGTGGGTGGCAATTGGCTAAGACTACTGAAGGCCACATGCCTATATTTTAGCCTCAGTGCTGCGGCCGCTGAGGAGTGCCATTGTGTACAGTAGTTAAAAGGGAGTTGTGGATGGACTGACAAGCATCCAAACATCCAGATCACAGGAGTACTGCAATGGCCATAATTTCTAGGCCAGTCGTAAATACTATTTATTCAGCACCACTGTCATTTCAAAAGATTGCTGAATGAATGGTTTTTAACCAAGGACTATATGTAATATCTTCTGAAACGGCTGTAAAATGAATTTTATGAGATTGCTTTTTAGTGGCTCATGCAAGTATGCATATGATAGGTCTTCAAATACTATTCTGAGTTTTGATGATGATGTAACTTGTTAATTGTTATCTTGTTAGTATACCAGTACCTATAGACTTCTGTTCCATATTTCCTAATATAATCTGTTACATGCATTTCAAATCACATACGGGCTACATTTCATGAGAATGGAGAGAGCTATATCAGGAGAGGAGGATCTGAATATTGGAATACTGTATTCAATAGCAAAGTCTGAACAAAGTTAGTAAATGAAACACCTCAGTATTCTGACTCCTTGTGGTAATAAGAATAAATAGCAGTGACATAATGAACTAAAGACATCTTACAGAAAAATGACCTGCTCTGCACACAAAAAATATATACTCCATCTCAATTTCAAGGGTCTGCCAAATTCATCTTGATATCACATGATCAAGATTGGAGTGTGAACCTATAGTTACTTATTAATTTACAAAGGGCTTTGTAGTATGTGTTGTTTTGTTATCTACTTACGAAGTTCAACATGTGGATTTCCAAGCTGCTTCTTTTGTGCGTCACTTCCCTCTATTTCATCTGGAAAAAATATGAACAAGAAAAATAGACTAAAGATGCACAGAGTGCTTTATCTACTCCAGTGGTTCTCAATCTTTCTAATGCCGTGACCCCATAATACAGTTCCCCATGTTGTGGTGACCCCCAACCACTTATACATCACCGGGTGCCAGGGGCATGGCCAAAGAAAAGGGGGAAAAAATGGCGGACAGCCTTGTTTGGCGACCCCCGTGAAATGGTCATTCGACCCCAAATGGGGTCCCAACCCACAGGTTGAGAACCACTGATCTAGTCTGACAGTTAACTATTTTTGAACTATTACATTTTTCAGGAGTTGCTAGTTTGGCCAATATTAAAATGTGAAGCAAACTCGATCAGTGCTACTACTCGCCATTCATAAATCCAATTTTCCCCCAATCCCAAAACACATTTATTAAACATGGTAATTAATAAATAAAACACAGAGCCACAGCAAATTACAATCAATTTTGGAGACCTTCTGCTATTAAATGAAACTAACATGAAGAAAAAAAATACTATAATCTAAAATTAATCTCATTTTATGTGAATTAAGCTGCCTAATTTTTCAACTCCACCATTTTGTATTTTAAAGCATGAAATATGAGTCAAATCCTGACATTACTGATTCAAATTATGTACTTTTTCCCACATAAATTCAGTCATTCTGGACATTTGTAAATCATGGGAAATAGTTTTTAAAGGGACTAGAACTGAAGAGTTTTTAAAGGGACTCCAGGTCCCCTTTCTTTCTCTTTTGAGTCTGACACAGCTTCACTAGAGGGGCCAGATACCTTCTACCAGCTTGCTAAGCGATTCTCCCTCTGAACAGGAGAGCAATTTTTCTTCTCCCTCCTTCTTGTTTTCAGTGAGAAACAGAGCAAACCAATTATTCAGACTGAAATGGACAGGAAAAAAGCAGAAAGGCAATCCAAAATGAAAAAGATTGCCACTTATCATTAAAAAGATTTGAAGGTTTTGCTTTTGGATGTCAATGCAGTCATGTTTATCCTAATCATGTAGTCTCCTCTTCTCCCATTAAATTTTGCTACTATTAATATCATTTTTCAGAAGATGAAAACTTGTATGTATTTCATTAATCGAGGAATACTGGGTGGGGAAGAGGAAAGCAAGAATGAAGTTTCTACTCTTTTTACCTTGAGTTTCTGCTCCTTGGTTCTCTGCCCCCTCTTTCCCTGTCTGCCCAACTTGGTAGTAGGCACTGTCAGCTCCACGCAAGGTCTCCTTTTTCTGAGAAGATAGATCTGGACTTTTCCCTCCTGTGCCACGGAAGAAGGACAGAACTCCATATGGCTTCTTTGCTAAAGACATGAACGCAAGAAATATTTGGGGGAGCTCTTTCATCATCTGTCATCAAGCCAAGTGATTCCAGCCTAATTACCCGTTGCTCCATGTCATTTCATAGCAGCTTGGAGAAACTGTATGGAAGTGTTAGGCAAGAACACTATTTTTCAAAATAAAATTTTACCAAACACCAGTGACAAAAAAACCACCTATTATCTCAGGTTAATAAACAACACAAAATCTCTGATTTAATCACAAAATATCTAATTATCCTGGTTTCCATCTTATTTAAATCAAGAAACTATTCTTCTGCTAGGTGAGGAGCCTGGCTTGTTCTTGGCATAGTGCAGATTAAATGATCAGATAATGGCTTAAATGCATTCATTCAAAAATGTTAAAAAAGTGAGAAACGAAAAGGTAGCATACATATCTTGTCCACACTTCGACTCATTAAACTGCTTTAGGACTACACAGATCTTTATCATCAAAGTAACAATGAGCAATAGATCCTGCCATTGAACTGGTTCACTTGTTGTTAATTGCAAAGTCGTGTCTGACCCATCGCGACCCTATGGACAACGTTCCTCCAGGTCTTCCTGTCCTCTACCATCTTCTGGAGTCCATTTAAGTTCACACCTACTGCTTCAGTGACTCCATCCAGCCATCTCATTCTCTGTCGTCCCCTTCTTCTTCTCTTGCCCTCAATCTTCCCCAGCATTAGGCCCTTCTCCAGTGAGTCCTTCCTTCTCATTAGGTGGCCAAAGTATTTGAGTTTCAACTTCAGGATCTGGCCTTCTAAAGAGCAGTCGGGGTTGATCTCTTCTAGGACTGACCGGTTTGAACGCCTTGCAGTCCAAGGGACTCGCAGGAGTCTTCTCCAGCACCATAGTTCAAAGGCCTCAATTCTTTGGCGCTCAGCCTTTCTTATGGTCCAACTTTCACAGCCATACATTGCAACTGGGAAAACCATGGCCTGGACTATACGCACTTTTGTTGGCAGGGTGATGTCTCTGCTTTTTAGTATGCTGTCCAGATTTGCCATAGCTTTCCTCCCCAGGAGCAAGCGTCTTTTAATTTCTTGGCTGCAGTCCCCATCTGAGGTGATCTTGGAGCCCAGAAAAATAAAATCTGTCACTACCTCCATTTCTTCCCCATCTATTTGCCAGGAATTGAGAGGGCCGGATGCCATGATTTTGGTTTTCTTAATGTTGAGTTTCAAGCCAACTTTTGCACTCTCCTTCTTCACCCGCATCAAGAGGCTCTTTAGTTTCTCTTCACTTTCTGCCATTAGAGTGGTATCATCTGCATATCTTAGGTTGTTGATATTTCTCCCGGCAATCTTAATTCCAACTTTTGATTCATCTAGCCCTGCCTTTCTCATGATGTGCTCTGCATATAAGTTAAATAGGCAGGGCGACAGTATACAGCCTTGCCGGACTCCTTTTCCAATTTTGAACCAATCAGTGGTTCCGTGTTCGGTTCTCACTGTTGCTTCTTGACCCGCATATAGGTTTCTCAAGAGACAAATGAGATGGTCTGGTACTCCCATCTCTTTAAGAACTTGCCACAATTTGTTGTGATCCACACAATCAAAGGCTTTTGCATAGTCAATGAAGCAGAAGTAGATGTTTTTCTGGAACTCCCTAGCTTTCTCCATGATCCAGCGTATGTTGGCAATTTGATCTCTAGTTCCTCTGCCTCTTCAAAATCCTGCCTGTACTTCTGGTAGTTCTCGATCCACATACTGCTGGAGTCTAGCTTGTAGGATTTTAAGCATAATTTTACTAGCATGTGAAATGAGTGCAATGGTGCGATAGTTTGAACATTCTTTGGCATTGCCTTTCTTTGGAATTGGAATGTAAACTGACCTTTTCCAATCCTGTGGCCACTGTTGAGTTTTCCAAATTTGCTGGCAAATTGAGTGTAGCACTTTTACTGCATCGTCTTTTAAGATTTTGAATAGCTCAGCTGGAATACTGTCACCTCCACTAGCTTTGTTGTTGCTCAGATTTTCTAAGGCCCATTTCATTTCACATTCTAGGATGTCTGGTTCGAGGTCAGTGACCATCTCATTGTGGTTATCTGGGATGTTAAGCTCATTCTTGTATAGTTCTTCTGTGTAGTTTTGCCATCTCTTCTAATCTCTTCTGCCTCTGTTAGGTCTCTGCCATTTTGGTCCTTTATCATGCCCATCTTTGCATGAAACGTTTCCTTCATATCTCCAATTTTCTTGAAGAGATCTCTGGTCCTCCCTATTCTGTTGTTTTCTTCTATTTCTTTGCACTGTTCATTTAAGAAGGCATTCTTATCTCTTCTAGCTACTCTCTGGAATTCTGCATTCATTGGGTGTATCTTTCTCTTTCTCCTTTGCCTTTCGCTTCCCTTCTTTCCTCAGCTATTTGCAGAGCTTCCTCAGACAGCCATTTTGCTTTCTTGCATTTCTTTTTCTTTGGGATGGTTTTAGTTGCTACCTCTTGTACAATGTTGCGAACTTCCATCCATAGTTCTTCAGGCACTCTGTCTATCAGATCTAATTCCTTAAATCTATTTGTCACCTCTACTGTATATTCATCAGGAATATGATTTAGTTCATACCTGAGTGGCCTAGTGCTTTTCCCTACTTTTTTCAATTTAAGCCTAAATTTTGCAACGAGAAGCTCATGATCTGAGCCACAGTCAGCTCCTGGTCTTGTTTTTACTGACTGTATAGAGCTTCTCCATCTTTGGCTGCAGAGCACATAGTCAATCTGATTTCTATGTTGACCGTCTGGTGATGTCCATGTGTAGAGCCGTCTCTTGGGTTGTTGGAAAAGAGTGTTTGTTATGACCATCGTATTCTCTTGACAAAATTCTATCAGCCTGTGCCCTGCTTCATTTTGTACTCCAAGGCCAAACTTGCCTGTTATTCCGGTTATCTTTTGGCTTCCTACCTTAGCATTCCAATCCCCCATGATGATAAGGACATCATTTTTTGGTGTTAATTCTATAAGGTGCTGTAGGGCTTCATAGAACCGGTCAATTTCATCCTCTTCAGCACCAGTGGTTGGGGCATAGATTTGGACTATTGTGATATTGAATGGTTTGCCTTGGATTCGAATTGAGATCATTCTGTCATTTTGGGGATTGTATCCCAGTATTGCTTTTCCTATTCTTTTATTGACTATGAAGGCTACTCCATTTCTTCTGAGGGATTCTTGCCCACAGTAGTATACCTGATGGTCATCTGAGTTAAATTCACCCATTCCTGTCCATTTTAGTTCGCTGATTCCTAAGATGTCGATGTTCAGTCTTGTCATCTCTTTTTTGACTACGTCTAGCTTGCCTTGATTCATGGATCTTACATTCCAGGTTCCTATGGAGAAAAAATCTTTACAGCATCGGACTTTCCTTTCACCACCAGATATATCCACAGCTGAGCGTCCTTTCAGCTTTGGCCCAGTCACTTCATTCTTTCTGGCGCTACTAGTACTAGCCCTCTGCTCTTCCCCAGTAGCATATTGGACACCTTCCGACCTGAAGGGCTCATCTTCCAGCGTCATATCTTTTTGCCTTTTAGTACTGTCCATGGGGTTTTCATGGCAAAGATACTGGAGTGGTTTGCCATTTCCTTCTCCAGTGGATCACATTTTGTCAGAACTCTCTGCTATGACCTGTCCGTCTTGGGTGGCCCTGCACGGCATAGCTTATAGCTTCATTGAGTTACGCAAGTCCCTTCGCCACGACAAGGCAGTAATCCATAAAAGGGTTGGTTCACTTAAACTTACATAATTGATTTGTTACTGTAAACAAAGAAATACTCTCCATTTAGAGGGAAAATGCTCCCTAATGCAGTCTTCTCCCAGATAGACAGAAATATGAAAAGCAAGTCCTATAAAGGGAAGGTGAAAACACCGACTCTGATTTTGCTTGGAGAAATGGCAACTAGGAGTGATATGATAGCACCCTTTGAGGCAATGATTTAGAACAATGGTCTCAACCTGTGGGTCAGGACCCCATTTGGGGTCGAACAACCATTTCACGGGGGTCACCAAACAACTCAGTCCGCCATTTTTTTCCCCCTTTTCCTTAGCTGTGCTACTCCCTTTTATTCTATTGGCTTTTGAAAGCGAATAGAATAGACTCTCTTGAATAGAGTCTAATTCTATTGGCTTTCAAAAGCCAATAGGAATTGTCCAGGCTGTCTCTGCCCTGCTGAGCCCGCCAAAAGTCCCATACTGCGAACGGTGCTGCACCAGTTGAGCAGTCCTCGACTTACGACTGGTCGAGTAGTCCTCGACTTACGACCGGTTGGGGGTCGCGGCATTAAAAAGGTTGAGAACCACTGATTTAGAAGAAGGGTAATATTGGATCAAAGGGCTCCATATACAGAAATATTCAGAAATTAACTGACGGTAAGAACAGAATTATTTATGAGGAAGGCTGGTGAGATCCCTTGTTGCAGGACTTCATGCAGAGACTAGAAAGCTATCTGTTGGAGTTGGTCTACTGCTGCTCCTTACTAATGATTTTGTTGAGATACAAATCCTAATTATTCCTATGAAGTAGCACTTAGCACATTGAAATTCTTTCTATACATTATTGTCTAACGCAGAGGTCTCCAACCTTTTGGGCACCAGGGACTGGTGCCATGGAGAAAGGTTTTTCCGCGGACCAGAGGGGGTGTGGTTTTGAATATTGCCTGCATCCCGAGGATGGAGTTTTGCTTGTTTGTGAGGCCCATTTACTGGCATGCTATGGACCGCTGCTGGTCTACAGACTAGGGGTTGGGGACCCTTGGTCTAACATACATGTGTGGGAAGTTATAGGAAGACAAACTCCAAATGAACATCAGGAAAACTTCCTAACATTAAAAGCAGCTTGAGATATGAAACCAATTATCAAGAAAGTTGCTTGGTTCCCGTGACTGGAAGGGTTCAAGGGGAGGACAGGATAGGGAAGGATCTGCAGGGGATCCTTTAATTTTGATTCCTGAACTGAGCCAATAAATAACAGTTTTTCTAAGAATGTATTAAAATACTAGTAGCATATCTTTAAAGGAAAAAGTGAATTAATCATAGCAGGGGGCAGTATCTAGCCAACCTTGACTGACCTAAACAAAACCTAAGCAAAACTGGATCTGATTAATACTTATATGGAAGATCAACAGACAACCAAGAGTGTAGATTAGGCTGGGAAGTTGGAAAGACTTCCTAAAAGAAGGCAACAGTAAAGATATTTTAGCAAACAGAAAAAAGATGTCAAGTTCAATTCAAAGGCTTCATTTCTATGTGATGAAATGCAGTTTTAGCACAAACTATGAGATTAATGAATTAATAGGCCTCACTGATTTTATTAAATGATCTTATTAAATTTATTGAAACAATATTTCCATTAGATTTGTTGTGGTGTTAGAACAGAACTTCAGATAAATTGGAGAACAATATACTGAAGTTTTCAGGATCTGATTTTCCTTATTTGAACAAGTTGTTTTCAAGTCCTGAAGCAAGACAGATAAAAGAATACAAACACTCACAAAATCTTAAATTTCTTACATTGTTCAGCTTCAGTTGTTTGGCTTGCCTGCCCCACATTCGTTTCAGGTATTCGGACTGGACTGTTGGTCTTCACTCTGCTCTCAGCCATACTGGAAATCAAAAATAGATTTTTGCCTACAATTTATTTTAAATCCACCTGATGCATATGTGATTGCACCAAATAGAGAAGCTTAAATTTTGCAGAAGTACCACCCTACATACATATGAGTCATATTTAATTTAGTGAACATAAAAACAACTTTGCTGAATTAGAAAATGACTCTGTCAAAGCTATGCATTCTTAAAACCCACAAAAGGAGAAAATTTGCTCCCAAGGAGGTTGACTTTGAGAATGAATGCTATCAAAATGCCACTTCTGAAACTTGGGTTTCATTTGGTTAATAAATAGCTGTCAACAAATCTACAGATAGGCTTCCAGGATCTGATATAATGACATTAGTCTGAACCTGTCATACCTAAAGATGAAGCAGGCATACAACCAGGGTGGCCAAAAGCCAGGAAACTTTTCTAAGGAGTCAACTTATTAAGGAAACAAAAGAAAACATATCACAAAAACCAGACCATGTGCTAAAGTCCACCAAAAGGTGGGCCTTAGCATATGGAACTTCTGCCCAAGTCCTATCAGGGGCTACTAGATCTGTAAATCAATATGGCAAGAGAAAGTGCCAGTCTTATGGATCAACAAAGCAATGACTTTGAACCCAAACGTGGCAGCTTCCATCCCTCTGGCAGCCTAGTTAAGAATGTAAGTAAGTGTGGATAAGTGTATAGTGGGATAAGTCTGTGGATGGGTGAGAAAGAGCAAATGGACATTGTACATAAAATGTTGCTGTTATTTAAAATTCACTGGGTCTCCATGTACTGCAAATAATTCAATGTTTGGTAGAAAGTGATTTGAGCACAGCTGTTAATCAGAGCTGTGAGCAAGTTGAGTGAATGATCGTAGGTTGAACTTATGTGTGTAACAATCCAAAGCTTCATATAGTAAATTTCCTGGAAAATCCCAGAAGCTAAAGCTATACTGAACATATAAACAGAATGCTGGATTTTGCGAACAGCACAATTTTATATAATACAATATCAAGAGAAAATGTTAGTAAGAATCTAGATCAGCTTTTTTTAACCTAATGCCTTTCCAGATATGCTGGGATTCAACTCCCAGAATTTCCAGTAAAATTCAAAGGATGACTGAATGTTCTATAATTTAAAGTGTTCTTGAAATCCCCAAAGTGCTCTTCCAAGTCTGTGTATTTCAGGTGTGTCATTTGTTGCCAAAAGAGAATGAATGGATCAAATAGAACACGCTGTTGATGACTTAAAGGAGCAACTGAAAATGGGCTTCTGCTGGCAATTATGAAGGCTACAGGAGGACCTGAATTATTCTCATGAGCCCTAATTAAATGTACAACTAAGACAGAGAAATGAGTTTGTCACCTGTTTGACTGAAATCCTTCTTCAATACTGCTCTTCAAAAACAATTTTGATAATTCATCTAAGGCATTTTTGTATTCCTTGCAACTGAAAATAAACAAATAAAGGTTTTATTCAAATGGCTCAATTCTATAGTTTAAAGTATGAGTGGGCGCCATGCAAACAGATAGTTAAGGTGTTATTGGGAAGATAAACTTGTTTCTTGGTTGTACTACTTTAGACTTCAAGAGGTAATTCTCATGTGGGATACTCTTGCATCTGAGAACATTCAGAGGGCATTTTGACACAGCCGTGTTTTTGTAATACAAATTCTCAAGCAATTATTTCTGCTTACCTGTGAGTGTCTTCCCTGCTCTGGGAAGGCTGGAGGACGATGAAAAAAGGGGCATCAAGTTGGTCAATGGGGGTGGGGAATGGATACTCTAGTCTTCCTAATGACTGTAGAGCAGTGATGACAAAGCTACCTGTCTGATCATTCCAAAAGATCTAGACTAGAGGATGGTGCAAGGAGCCATCAGCCTTTTAGCAAATGAAATTTTATTTAAGGAAATGACCCAGTCAGGTAACATTAATCTAATCTGGTATCTATACTATGCAGCATTTAAATTGACCCACCAGAAGTGGGCTCGTGTTATAAAGCATTGAAATATAATAGCAAATAGATCCAAGAAGCAGCAGATCCTATTTCCAGGCTATGCAAGGTTTTTATTTATTTATTTATTTATTTTATTATACCCTATTCTTCATACAAACTACAGTGGGGTAAAAAAGTATTTAGTCAGCCACCAATTGTGCAAGTTCTCCCACTTAAAAAAAATGAGAGAGGCCTGTAATTGTCATCATAGGTAGACCTCAACTATGAGAGACAAAATGAGAAAACAAATCCAGACAATCACATTGTCTGATTTGGAAAGAATTTATTTGCAAATTATGGTGGAAAATAAGTATTTGGTCATCTACAAACAAGCAAGATTTCTGGCTCTCACAGACCTGTAACTTCTTCTTTAAGAGGCTCCTCTGTCCTCCACTCATTACCTGTATTAATGGCACCTGTTTGAACTTGTTATCAGTATAAAAGACACCTGTCCACAACCTCAAACAGTCACACTCCAAACTCCACTATGGTGAAGACCAAAGAGCTGTCGAAGGACACCAGAAACAAAATTGTAGACCTGCATCAGGCTGGGAAGACTGAATCTGCAATAGGCAAGCAGCTTGGTGTGAAGAAATCAACTGTGGGAGCAATAATTAGAAAATGGAAGACATACAAGACCAATGAAAATCTCCCTCGATCTGGGGCTCCACACAAGATCTCACCCTGTCAGGTCAACATGATCACAAGAACGGTGAGCAAAAATCCCAGAACTACACGGGAAGACCTAGTGAATGACCTGCAGAGAGCTGGGACCAACGTAACAAAGACAACCATTAGTAACACACTATGCCGCCAGGGACTCAGATCCTGCAGTGCCAGACTGTGTCCCCCTGCTTAAGCCAGTACATGTCCGGGCCCATCTGAAGTTTGCTAGAGAGCATTTGGATGATCCAGAAGAGGATTGGGAGAATGTCATATGGTCCGATGAAACCAAAGTAGAACTGTTTGGTAGAAACACAACTCGTCGTGTTTGGAGGAGATAGAATGCTGAGTTGCATCCAAAGAACACCATACCTACTGTGAAACATGGGGGTGGCAACAGCATGCTTTGGGGCTGTTTTTCTGCAAAGGGACCAGGACGACTGATCCGTGTACAGGAAAGAATGAATGGGGCCATGTATCGTGAGATTTTGAGTGCAAACCTCCTTCCATCAGCAAGGGCATTGAAGATGAAACGTGGCTGGGTCTTTCAGCATGATAATGATCCCAAACACACCGCCCGGGCAACGAAGGAGTGGCTTCGTAAGAAGCATTTCAAGGTCCTGGAGTGGCCTAGCCAGTCTCCAGATCTCAACCCCATAGAAAACCTTTGGAGGGAGTTGAAAGTCTGTGTTGCCCAGCGACAGCCCCAAAACATCACTGCTCTAGAGGAGATCTGCATGGAGGAATGGGCCAACATACCAGCAACGGTGTGTGCCAACCTTGTGAAGACTTACAGAAAACGTTTGACCTCTGTCATTGCCAACAAAGGATATATAACAAAGTATTGAGATGAACTTTTGATATTGACTAAATACTTATTTTCCACCATAATTTGCAAATAAATTATTTCCAAATCAGACAATGTGATTGTCTGGATTTGTTTTCTCATTTTGTCTCTCATAGTTGAGGTCTACCTGTGATGACAATTACAGGCCTCTCTCATCTTTTTAAGTGGGAGAACTTGCACAATTGGTGGCTGACAAAATACTTTTTTGCCCCACTGTATCTTAAAGCCAGATACAAATGGAATAAAATGTTCAACTGGAACATACAATATTTGTATGCTAATGAATACAATATGTCCTTGCATCACTGAAAACAATCAAATGCTTTATCCTTTATTCCCTAAAAGCAAACTTACTAAAATTCCCATAAAGCATATTATATTAAAATGTAGAAAACCAGTCAGCTCTAAGAAAATAGTTAGGTTGTATGAAAAGTGCTCAACCTTGATTAAACATCAAAGGAAAGAATTGCGTGAACTTCAGTGGCCAAGTTGCCCCGCTCCCCAATCAAAAGGACTTTGGTAGAGTCTTGGTAATGCTTTAAAAGGAGGTCGGAGAAGGTAGAAGCAGTAGTCAAATAAACAAGAATGAATCAAATGAGTTAACACTGTGCTTTAAAGACCCAAAAGGAAGCAAAGAATTTATTTTTCTGAATGTGGAAGAAGAAATGTATTGGGCTTCTACTCCCATAATCCCCAACAAGAAACCACTGGGCTGAAAAAGACTTCTATGATCAAAGCAGGAAATCAACATACCTGAGAGCAAAGGCGATGATGGAGCTTGGTTCCTTTTCACAGACAGCAATAGGAACTCGTTCGTGCTCATACATTAAGTAATGCTTGTCAGGCTCACTACATTAAGGGCACAAAAATTACAACAAGTCATTTATTTACAACAAGCAAGTCTGCATCACATATTTCTCAAATGAAAAAAACTTTTGAATTTAAAATAATTACTCCCCCCCCCCAAGAAAAAGAAAATTAAACCGAAGAACCTCATTGGCCTCTTTCACTATATTCTTAAAAGTAAATTATTGGGGGAAGGAGAAATCTAGAATATAGCAATAAAGCAAATTGGGGTAGCCTTTCTGGCTTTTATTGTTTTGTCCAAGTATAAAGTATAAAAGAAAATGGAAATAGGAATTTAGGGGAAGGAAAAAAGGGGGGGGAAGGAAAGAAAACCTAGGATACAAGGGAAAAAAGAAAAAAAGCACTGACTTCTGACTCTTTTTAGCACAGTAGAATAACATTACATCCTCAACTTTATACTTTCACACATCAATAAATACTAGCCATTTCTATAACAACAAATCTATCTAATCAAGTCAAAGTCAAAATTTCATTTTTTTAATCACAAGGACAAAATCCAGAAGAGATTACCAAATAAAAAATATAAATATATTCTCTTCTTTGAATAAAGCAATCAATTTAACCATTTCTGTTTTTTCTTCCTTGCTGTGGAAATATTTATTTCTGTTCAATAGTCTTTATAGACTATCATCCTTTATATTAACAAAATTCACTGTATTCTTTCAGATTCTTTAACCTTAAAAGTGAAAAAATACTAAACTAAACTTTTCTTTAAAAACATTCTAAGATCAAAAAGTTCTAATACATTTCTTAAAACTTCCTCTTAACATATATAAAGCTCACTTTCAGTCAGACCAATAAAATTCCAGCTAACTCCAACTAACACATAAAATAACTTTTAATTTAGCTAGAACATTAGCTATAATATTTGGATAAGGATAAAATTGTTGTTCTTTCTTTTACTTCCTGATGCTAATGTTTTACTGAAATGACAATTCCAAATTAGCATAACAATCCAAAGAAGAATATCACAAAGAAAAATGCAAGTAGTATAGCCAATTAACAAATCCCCAGCTCTTCTTTTTAAACTAATATTAAGAATCTGGTGGGGCTAGTAGATAATTAGCAGAAGACAAAGGTTAAGGCTGCCTCATTCTACATTAACTATTACTCCACAGAAATATATTACACCTTATACAATCCAATGGATTAAATATTACTGTCTTTTCACCTGACAATAGGCATTGCAACCCAAGGAGCAATATGAACAAAACAAACACAAAAAAACCCCATTATACAGAAATCATTTTCCTTCCAAGCTGGATTTTACTTACAAGGGGGATGGAATCGGAGTGTAGCTATTTCCAGGTAACAGATTTGCTAGAATAGCCTTCATGGTAGATTTTTCTTTCACCTGACTATCCACAGAGCCTAGCAAATGCCCATCAAACACATCTGGAATAAAAAAGGAAGATACAACTTTTAATATTGCTAGAGCTCCAAGATTTCTTTAAAATGCCCCTTCTTGGGATACTACAGAGATAATTTGTTGTCTCAAACTGATGATTTCAATGATTTTAAAATATACTGTTGCTTTTGAAAAATGGTCAACAACGCTGCTATGAACTTTTATCACACGTTTATCAATTATTATCAATCATAACAACATATGTTAAACTCTGAAACAAAAGGTTCATTGATCAGCCCCTTTATAGTTCTGAGAAAAACAAGGCCAGACTTATAGAACATGATCATTGCAAAAGGACAGTCGGTAAAATCTGTCTCTTTTTCTCTATTCAGAACCCTACAAAGGTTTACAAATTCTGTAATGGGCAACATAGCTTGAAGATAACAGTTGGGGAATTCTGCTCCATCTGGTCTAATCAGAAATTTCTAGTCCCAAATGAAAAGGTGATGAAAGCTAGTCTGATGTAGTAGTTAGGATGCTGGGCTAGAAATCTGGAGGTCCAGAGTTCTCATTCTCCTTTAAGTCCAAAAGCTGGATGGATGAATTTAGGCCAGTCATTGTCTCTCAGCCCAACTCACATCACAGAATAATGGTGGTAGTTGTAATAGGAAAAATTACATCATTATGTACACTGCATTGCAATGTATAGAATAAATATGGGATAACAATAATAACATCAAGCTTTTATTTATCAAAATCACAGTGGCAAAGTTCTGAAGAGCCCTCAATTTCTTCATATTCTCTTCATTTTAATTATAAATTCAATATCGATAGATAATTCAAAATGAAACCTTTTGCTGTAATAGTGCATGAACCTCACTGTATTATCATTATAGTGTTCAGGGCTCATGTATCAACTGTACGTCCGAAAGCAACCCTGTCATCAGAGTCTGTAGTTCTATACTCTTTAGAGCAAATGAAGGGACTAAGACAAGGGAAGAGAAACTTTCCCAAGGTTACCCAGTAAGTTCAGTAGAAAAATTAATGTGATTAATTAATTAATTCTTTTTGGAACCAAACCACTTATTTTGTATTTTGAACAATATACACACATGAAATTTCTTATGTCATTCTTGCCAAATAATTTTGAAAGTAGCAAGTATAATAAGTTGTAAAGTAAACCAGATGTCCAAGGCAGCCTACAGCTGCACAGAAGCAGAAGTAAAGAAGAAAAACCCTCGCTGATACCTTCTGAGCTGCCAGCTGCATCTGGATCAGAGAGAATATTGGCAGAGGTGGACCCTCCTGTCAATTGGTCAGATACAACCTCTGGAGGAGTGGGAAGCTGGAGCAGAGAAGAACTGGTAGAACTCTGGCTGGACAGAGTAGTCAAGAAACGATCTTCTGTGGAGGAAATATACAGACAATAGAGCATTCTTAGAATGCCTTTCAAATAAGGTATGTGTGCTTTAAGCAACCACCAAAAAGGTTTTAGCACAGATCGAAAAAAGATAAACTGATACTAGGACAAGCATTCTTTAGCATTTATACTCTATGAAGAACCAGGCCAGTGTTTTTTACCTAATTTTTCAAATATTTCAATGTAAATATTAATGTCAGACTTTCTTAAGCTGCAAGTTCTATATAGAAAATAGAAAAGCTGCAACACAAAGATACAAGCTAAACATACAATGACAAGTCTTCTGTAATATGCAGCATACCTTTCTCACCATTCTGAAGTGCTGGAGAAACGTTGCGAGGAGATGCATCCATTGAACTGATCTGTAGAACAAAGAGTTACTTCTTTCATATTGAGAATTTTTTCTTTCAAATCAATACCATTGTCAACGCTGCTAACATTGGATGTTCCTGATCTGACAACTGATGAAAATGCAGCCATTTTCGCTTCTCCTTTAACATGTTTCTTCTTGCTATTAGAAATCAGATGCGGGGGGGGGGGGATGTAAGCTCAGCTAGCCATAATAATAACGCTGCTGTGGGAACCCAAGGACAAGCTGATAACATTTTGGCAGGCTGAGGAGCTGAGGAGAAAGCCCGCACTTTAAGCTAATTGGGGAATATGCTTTATGACAGTTTATTGGGGATGGGAATTTAGGTTTTGGATTCAGCTATGAAGTGCCGATACTTTGTTTCCCGAATAAATGTTCTTTAAGGAAGAATTTTGCCTCGAAGTTCTTTTGATGGGTTTCATCTATCAGAACCATGACAACCATTTTGCTAAAAAAAACAAACCACTCCTTCTCAATGCACACAAACATGAAAACATATAATCTGAAAGAGAGAAATGGGCAAAAACACAAAGCTTTTCTACTTGGTGTTTCTCTAGAACAAATGAAGCACCCTTCATTTTAAGAAATATAATTGGATATTCATCTCCATTCAATGAAAAAATACAACAGTTGTCAGAAAAAACATGGCACTGTAATACTGTGACCTGTGATTCATCTAAGTTGTTAATATTCTGCTTAAATGAACAATCTATACAATAAATATACTGTGTCATATCTTTACTGAACACATTGAGTCAACTTTTACTACCATTCTTAAAAAATATGTAGAGCTTCTACTTCTTTAGCAGCACTGACTTCATACATTTCCTACACTGGTTGATCAATTCTGCATTATCAAACTGGCAATATTTTGGCCCTTTATTTTTTACAGAATTGCTTCAAATCAATTACATTTTTGAACTGTTATGCATGCTTGTGCTTCAGATCATGCTGCAATATTTGACTTGGGTTAAGAAGACGGCTCTTGATTCTAGAATTTCAAAACAAACTTTCTTTTGCTTCAGCTATTCTATTGCAGATATATTTGAAGCTAGCATAGTTATCACATTGGATAACACATGTCTGTTTAAACATTAATTTAGGGACAGAGGCTGTAACAATATCCTAGTAGAATTTCCTAGTAGAATCTAGAATTCATTATTACCTCAATGAGCCAAGCTTTTGATCCTGAGGTTACAAAACAATCCCAAACCAAGAAATGCCACTTAGTGCTTAATAGTTTGCATTTTTGGGGGGGGTCAGAACTCAACATTTTACTTTTTCCAAATAAAATTTGCCAAAAAATTCCATTTTTATATCATCTATCCACAGGATATTGTTCCTATAGCATCTTGATGAACATGGATATCAGACAATGCAAGAATGGCCTACAAATCATTTTCCATTATTTTAGATATTTTGCAATCTCCTGTAGCATACAATGCTTTTGCCTTTGTGATGTTCTTGGAATCAATGAATCAGTGGTGTTTCATTTTCTTCATTTGTAACTTAATTGTGAACTGATGGAGGTCAAAGATTTTGGCAATGGTTTTGTAGTCCTTTTCAGACTCATATGTCTGCAAAAATCTCTTTTGATCAGGATGTAATTCAACATATCTATGTTAAAAAGAGCAAACTGTGATTGTGGAAACCATCTTTTTTTTAATAGAGAAAGCCCTCTTAATAGAGAAAACAGACATGATTTTCATCTCACCAATTAGAATATTTTACTTAACTTATTGCCTTCATTGCCCTAGGTTTCCACGTGTTTTCTAATAAACATAGTGAGTTTTGACTCAGTATGTTAATGAAGACATGAACACCATATTGTTTTATATTATTTTAACAATTTATATTAATGGGACTTAGATGAAGCTCTGATCACACCATAGATCACAGTATTGTAGAATTACAAATAGTTCTAAAGGATTCTCAAACTTTTTCTTATCCTTGTAGTTTTCTGCAGCAGAAATCCAAATTCACGCAACCATCACTGCAGTTTGGGAATTTGCAAAAAGCATTGCAGATGTTTCAAAAATTCCTCTTGCATGTAGAGGAGTTCAACAGAACCTAACTTTATTCTAGATTTACTATGCCAATTTGTGCACTTAGAAACAGGTGCTTTCTGAACTAGCAATACAGGAATGCACTACAAGAATGTATGCAAATGCTAATATTTAAATGAATAGTATTTTATTTGCAAAGAGAAAACAGTATTTGTACTGTTTACTTCTACTTACAGCTGCCATTTTAAATATATAATTACAGTGATCAAAATCCATTACCTTATTCTCATCACCTTGCCTTAATCTCCCAGGACTCGGTGGCACAGAGGGGCGCTTCCTCCCTTTTTCTTGCTGGAAGAGATCTTGCAGCCTATAGCACATTTCATATTATTATTCTGATATATCTAATGCCACAAAAATCATATTAGCAAGACCCCAGTTTTCTCTCAGATATGTAAACCATTTAGAGAACAAACCTTTTATGAAGCCAAACAAGCCTTTTATCTGGAGTTCATTCAGTCATATTTATTAGATTAATTGAAAACCACACTGAACTGACAATATAGTCCTTCTTTTATTCTGTAGTCAATGCATCCTATTCAGAATGTGTCAAATGTCTGATAAATGCATACTTTATTACACTGTTAGTATCTATTTTTAATAAAGAAATCCAATAATGACTCATAACCAACAATCTGTAAGAAGAATAACCAGTAGAAAAAAAACAATCCTTAATTTTCCAATTGAGGAAGTACACCTTTTCTTACCTGTTATTCCATGCTTGCAACATCTCACAGAGACTTTGCTTTTTGGCTATTAAAGATTCAGAAATTGAATGCAGCTGCTGAGGAGTGTCAAATGAAGAAGAAAGCATCCTTGCTTGGATTTTCTCTATCCAGTTTCTAAATTCCACTTCCTCCATCTATCAAAAAAAAAAAACTTTTCTCAGATGAAGGTTATTTTCCTATCCCATTCCTTTAAAAGATACCTATTTCTGCAGAATCCTTAATAAGAATGAAAATCACATTTTCAGCAACATGGTAACAATTAATGGCTTCTAGTTATAAACCTCAGTTTCAACTCAGCTCTGTCCACACTACTTTCCAATTACTGAAAACTGGACTGATGTTTGATTCAAAATAATTATTACCTTGCGGGCATAGCTGCTTTCTTTAGCTTTATGTATCCTACACCTTCTGTAATGAACAAGAATTTCAATTCCTATAAACATGTAATGCATTATACCTCCTTTTGGGCAAAGAGATCTTCCATCTTCTCCTCCCTTGCTTTGCTAAATGTATCTGTTTTCAAAGAAGTGAGGCGCTCATCAACAGCAATATACACCTGAGAAATCCTGCAACAACAATAGTCATACTCTGAATCCAAACTCAATCCATTCTCCTTAAGAATTTTATCTAATACACTGCAAGTTGCAGTTTTTCAAAGAAACTAACCTAATGGTCTATATTAGGCTGAGAAACACTTAACAAGTATAATTTTCATATTATGTATTTGTTCAACTTATGTTCAGAGGAAACATATACAGTAGCTTAAATCATAAAATAAACAAGAATGCAAAAGATAAGGGCCCAAAAGATTATTATTTTGCTAACACTGCATATCCCTTTCAACTGATTTGAATGTGTATGTTAGTCAGTAGCACTAGAAAATTCCAAATTGTAACTTGTTCAGACAAAAGGGAGTTCTTCAGTTTCTATCCAGAAGTACAGTACAACTAGCAAAACATTAGAAAAACTCTACAGAAAACACTGTGAATTCCAGGGGGAAAATTACAATGTTATATTTTAGTTTTGAGACTGTGAGGTGATCATCATGCTATATCCATTGTCTGCTGCATATAGCAGTTAAGTGCATAATGCATTACATGTTATCCTTCAACATCAGGGCAATGAAGGAATTGTAACACAAATTTCAAATGGGACACACTGGGCTGGGGTGGGGATGTAAACCTACTTCTGAGAAAAGTCTTTCAGATCTTGAAGCATGGTAATCTTCAGTGGTACTTGACGTTTGATATAGATCTTAGGATGAGGAACACATACCTCCAGTAACCGTATAGCAGAATAGCTAGAAAGAGAACAAAACACAATGTTGAGATGTAAGGCCTGCAAACATCATGCCATTGAACAGTAAATAGGTTTTAATATTAGTGAGAGAACTGACCACATTTAATTCGGCACCCTTTTAAGATGCTAGAAATGTCTATATAAAGTTATTTAAAACCTGTAAAATATATGCAGTGATGATATTGGACAGAAGGTATTTAAAAAGATACGTTTTTTTTAATGTAATTGAGAGTTTTTACCTGAAAGATGCCACCATCTGATTATAGGAAAAATACTGGTGGTAGTCATGATGCATGGAGTGGCCACATGGTTCAGCATTGGCTCTTCGGGTATATTGGTAGCCATAAAAGCGGAGTTCAAGGTATTTGGCAAAGGACATAGACCACGAATCATTGGAAAGTGGAACCACAGGTGTTACCTAGAAGAGTTACTGTGATTTTTATACTCAGGAAAGTCCTGACTTGCCCCCAGATCCACTCAAACCAATTTGATTTTGCATTTCAGTAATTCTTGAATTTGACAAAGGCAAACAAGCATATAGCTTATCTTAAATTTATGCTGGCAGCAATCAAGAAAACATTAGGAGTAGCCTATATTCAGATGGGGATGTCATTACATAGAAGTAAGAAATGAAACTATTGACATAATTTGTCCCATAGAACCTTTTTAAAGGCAAATACCTTAAGCCATGGCAAGCTTTCTCACCCACTTGGTAACTCAACAGTCTTCTGCTCATAACAACCATAACGGTTATTCCCCAGAGAGCTCCACTGCATAAGAGCAGCTTTTTCCAAACTGATGCCTTCCAAATAAGCTGGACTTCAAATGAGATTTGGAGCCCAAGCATTACTGGAGAAGACCGCATGGAGGATGCTGTTCTAGAGCATAAGCTTTGCGTTGGAAAATTCTTGGACTAAATCTCTCCATTATTTCACTGCTTATTCTGAGATGGGCCATTCTCCCTCCATCTTAGCCCTTCCCTGCCTGTAATCTGGAAATACTAATAAGAAAGACAAAAAAGTCTGGAGAGAGGACATTGTACTAGAAACAGCAGAATAGAAGAAAAAGAACTGGAGAAAAATCACAAAATACAAGGACTTGCAATAGAAGTAGAAGGGCTGTGGCAAAGGAAAGCAAAGATAGTACCAATAATAATAGGTGCCTTATGTATAATCCCAAAACATCTGGACCACCACTTGAATACCATCTGCACTGACAAACTAGCCATTAGTTAATTGCAAAAGACAGCTTTACTTGGAACACCTCATATCCTGCAATGATACCTTTAACACCATCAAAGAACATCTGCCTATCCCAGCTCCTTGGAAAGGACTCAATAGGTGGATAAAAATGCCACATCCAGTCTAAACATCTAGCTGATTGTGTAACCAACAATAATATTGTCTGTTTTAAGAACTAAGGTGATATGATATGTTTGCATTCAATGAAATCACTGTAGGAAAAAAAAGTACTACTGTTATTATACTCAGATTTTTTAACTTCATTTTATTTTCAGATGGAATTTTTTTACATGAAAGTTTATGAAACCAAATGTCCTTCAACATTATTCATAAAATGCTACAAAACAGGAGGGCTGGGGTTTTGTTTGATTTTAAAAGAGCACATTTTATATATTATGAATAAACCCAGGTTTACTGTAATTATTTGTCCTGTGCAAATCTAGAAATACCTTTTAGAGAATCAATGCCCTAAAAGTGGCATTGTTGTGCATTCAAAATGGACTTTTCCTTTCTCCACTATCCTCTATTTGTGCCTCTTCTTGTAAATTTCAAGCATTTGAACTACCTGACTCTACAGAAAGACAACTGAGATCTCCTCTTACCTGCTTGCAAAGTCTACACCAGGAATAAGTGAGAATTGTATGCTGATAACCAGGCACCGGAGAATCCAATTCCTTCAATATGATTTGTACACAGCCTTGTCCATGGACAAAGCGACGGATGTGGTGCACCATTGGTGTTTCGCAGAACATATTTGGGCACTGATAGGAGGGCCTTCAAACAAAAAAATAATTGTGAGAAATTTAGTTTTTTGGGTCTGATGTTCTAGTGGGTCTTAAATCATCACATCCTCCATTCACTCATCAGTTCATTCATCACAATCTCCATCACCATGACCTCCTGTTCACTGCTAGTCAGCTGGACAGCATGGAGCGACTTAAGTCTCATGGTCAATACATACTTAATTTTGCATTACAATGCTTTATATTGAGACTTTTGAAACGGGAAGGTTGGGAAAGTATACCAAAATATTCTTCACTAAAAAACAAGAATGTCAATGCTTTTAAAGATAAAAAAAGGAATGTTCCTTTAATGGGGGGGAGTGGAGTTCCTGCATTTTCCAAATATTTATATGGTAGTCCATGATCACAGAAAGTTTGAGAAATCCTGCTCTATTCTACTTTACTCCTTCTAAGGAGTGGCATGAAACATCCACGTCTTACGTTATATTTCCTCATTTTCATTCTATAGGTAGTTATGGATATACAACCAGTCATTTAGAAAGTGTCTGAACAGACCCCGATAAAAGGACTTGTGACCCAGATTCGTTCTGATTTCCAGCCCCTCCCTTGCAGTCACATGACAGCATTTTGGGCACTCAGCAACCAGTCTGCATTTATGGCTATTTCAATATCCTACAGTCACGTGACCACAATTTACATTTTTTACATTTTTTCCAGAAAGCTGTGTTTACCTCCAGTTGCTGGGAAAAAGCACCTCATAGCAAACAATGGATTTCCTTAATAGCTGCTGCATTCACTCTATGATCACCACATTTGCTTTACAATCACCATGTTCACTTAATAATTGCTGCAAAAAGGTCGCAAAATTAGGCGCAGTCACATGATGAGTTGCTTAAGAGCCGTCACGACTTATGACTGAAACTGCGGGATCAATTGTGATCGCAAGTCAAGGACTACCGGTACATCTCTGCAATCTCCTCCCTACTATTTCTTTTTAAACTTGCCCCAATAAACTGGTATTTTACACTACCCTGCTATAGTTATAATTTATTTCTATGCCACTGAATGGTACCTGAAATAGTTCAAGTTTTACAATCTGCGATACAACAATAATATTTTTTTAAAAATCCATAAGTAGTAAAAAACAGCAGAACATTATTTAAATCAGAACGTAAGCATTTTTTAAAAAAAAATTAAAGGATGTTTATTTTGGGCTTCACCCTACATCAATGTAAGGGTCCATATTTCTCAGTAACTGGTAATAGAAATAACCACTTCTGTTTTGTTCATAACTTTAGTGTTAACACATATTAGCTATTTTGCTTTAACTGAAGTTAGGGGAGACACAGACTGTATATTTTAGATTTACACTTGCACAGGTGATTAACACGCTATTGTGGTAGCATTTGTGACATTTTTATTATAGAGAGTCTATGTTTTCTTAGTATTTTATCTCATCATTTAATTTTATTTTTGTGCTGTATATTTTCAAATTTTGCCGATCACTGACTGAATAAACATTATTTCTTTTTTTCCTAGGAACATGACAAAATAGCCATATTTATCTTTCTAATACAAATCCAGATTGATGACGCAAATTAAATAAAAAACACTCCCAGTAAATATCAAAATAAACTGCATTACTGCATCAGAAATATACCATGACTAGAACCTCATAAAAGAATACTATGAAACAATCCCCTAAATATACCGAGCTATTTTCATGATAATTTTAAATCAAATATTCTTACCTGAAACAATATCTTTCTAGAAATACTCCTAAAGTGAGATCATTCTTCCCATAGAACTCCATTACTACCATCCTAAAAAAATGGAAACCAAGACAGTTACCTTTAAAATAACTGGAGTTATTGGACATTTCCTGCATGCAAGAGGCCTTTATTGTTTTTCCAAATGTCAAAGAAAAATATGGCTGTACAGAATTTAACTGATTTCTAATTCATTACTCTCTTGGCCTTAGACAATTCCTGCTGCTCTCTTGCTTCTTTCCAATGTAAACCCAATAAAATGAACAAAACAGAATAAATCATATAGTCAAGAGTTGCAAGATTGAGCAAGATATAAATTCAGTCATTCAATCAATATGCTGTGGGCAAATGCAACTGCTGCATATTTTATGATTTGGAAGATAGAATCAGCAAACTGCATTGCTACAATAAAATCAATAGATAAAAGAATGCCAGATACTGCAAAGTGTGAGTGCAACAAAATGCTAATATATATTTTAAGTAACACAGAAGTATGTCTGTACCCTAGAAAGAATTTAAATTTTTTGAATCCTATCTTTCCCAATTTTTAAAATGCCATTCTAGTTTGACTTTAATGAGATGCAGAGAATTTGCAGCACCAACCTCAGTGTTATATGGTTCTTTGGGGAAGATTAAGTGCTTTATCAGACTTGAGGAAGTGGGGGGGGGGGGGAGAAGAGCAAAACTTTACTAATCTGATTCATTGTTACATTGGTTGGAAAGTATATTTGAGCTCATCCACCCAGCGATGGCAATGGACTTTCTTCCTGTCCTTGAGACAGGAGGGAAACATGTCAATATAAAAACCACTGCCCATTTGTTATTGCTGCAAGTGTGGTACTTTCACAGAGAATAACATGGATAACTGGCCAACCCTGACCAGGAATCTTCTGCTGGCACAGATGCACTTGGAGGGTAGCTATTGATGAGGAATTTTTGAAAAGGGTGTTCTCTTTTGCCTCTTGACTGAACCTCTGCCCAGTATTTTGGGTTCCCCCGAAGTCCTGTTCTTTGGGCCACTGATGGACTATTCAATGGACAAAAAACTATGGAGGGGAAAAAAGCATAGGATGAGAAAACAGAAGGCGAGATCTCAAACAGGCATCTCCCAAAGGATTACAAAAACCCTGTGTTGTGTGGCAGTAATAGTTGTAGTAGTAGTAGTAGTAGTAGTAGTAGTAGTAGTAGTAGTAGTAGTAGTAGCTGCATGTTTACAAACCAGTAAATGGCAAGCCTCTAAGGAATATTCTCTATTTCCCCATCAAATAAAAGGGAAATATTTAGGTAATACATTTAAGTACCATAATTAAAGTAAATAACAATATCATACCATGGGCTAACGCAGGCACTTGGAGCATTGCCAGACTGGGATGAAGAACTACTGAACAAAACACACAGTCTCTGATGGTTTGTACAGCTAAGGCAGTCCACCTGGGAAGACATGTACATGTAAAACAGTTATCATGTTATGTTAGCAGTGTCATGGTTCTTAAAGAAGAAGCTCTTCAAAGAACTTTGAGGCATTGTTTACCTTAAAGAATCTTTAATTGAAGCCAAAATCTAAATTCTCCTCCCCCAAACACACAGTATCTAAGCATAATTCACTCCTCCATTTAACAGTCATTAATCACATTCTCCAATTAGTTTGAAGTGCAAACTTTCCCTCCCGATTGCCATTTCTTATCTCCTCTTATTACAACCAACCTTGAAGAATACTCTACTGCAGTGTTTCCCAAACTTGACAATTTTAAGGCATGAGGACTTCAACTCCCAGAATTCCACAGCCAGCAACGCTGGCTGTGCAATTCTGGGAGTTGAAGTCCACATGCCTTAAAATTGTCAAGTTTGGGAAACACTGCTCTACTGAGATATTGTTATGGCTAACTAGTCCCCATGCACATTCTTCCCCCTCCCTTCCAGCACCATCTAATTCTAATTCTAAAAGTAATACACAGGTTAAATAGAAAATGTCTGCATCTTCATATATTATCAAGCAAGAACACCCAATGTTAGCAACATTGACAAGCAGTGGATGGACTCAAGTTTAATGTTTATGAGTACACTGATGGAAGATCTAAAGAGCCAGAAGATCTATCTATGTGGTTGTTCAGAATCAACACCAACCTGATGGCACAGAAATTATAATCAATATTTACATACATGCATACCCATCATGCCTTTCAAGGTAAGCAATAGTATGCCAGGCATACTAGTAAAGAAGTAAGAAAAAGTTAAATAAATTAAAGGTGCAAGAGAAGAAAAAGAAAATGAAACACAGCTACACTATTTATTATACCTATAACTATAATGTAAAAAATATTTTAATATGACTTTATGCACTTGTGCTAATCAAACTAAATATTTACAGGTGACAGAATTTGGAATAATGCTACGCCAAATATGATAAACTTGTAAGATATCTGAACTACACAATTCCTTTCTTAAATGTATGCGAAATCTTTGCTTCATGTCTCCCTCCTTTTCTTTTGCAGTAGTCACCCCCTTGCCTTGCACATTACACTTTCTTTTTCAATTTAAGCTCTTTCTTTGTCTAATATGAGGAACACAGGGATCCATCATTCAATATTTATTTTCAGGAACTGTAAAGGGACCGAGTCAAAAATGCTTTGCCATTTTTCAATTGAGCACATTTTCAACATCTTTGAAGTGCAGGCCAGTCTAGTATGGGATACTATCATATACATAAAAATATACATACTATATTTTTGTCCCGAAAGCCTTTCCCATTCAGCCAAGTGCTTCTTCAGCATCTTTGTTCCTAGGTGCCTGATATTTTTTCAAAGAGCAAAAGGCATTCTGAAAATATTATCATTACAGGTAATCCTTGAGTTACAACCATTCGTTCAGCAGCCATTCAAAATTATGATGGTGGTGAACAAAGGGAACTTATGATCAATCCACATAATGGTCATATGATTGCTACTTGTGATATTCTGTGCCGGCTTTTCATAAGCAAAGTCAACAGGGATGCCTGCAGAGAAGATCACAAATCACTCCTGTAGGACATCTCCCACCACCTTTTTTCCCAAAGAGTCCTACCAGAATACAAGTTTCCAAGGATCTCATAGTCCATAGCACCCCTGCCCACCTATATCTTCTATCAGCTCACCTGTGCTCCGTAGTGCCTCCTGTGACGCCCAATAACCTACTTGCGGCATCTGGGTACCCCACCACACTCCTAAGCAATGTGGTCATGTGATGTGCTTCACAACCACATTGCTTAGCAATGGAAGTTCTGGTCCCAATTGTTATAACCTGAGGATTACCTGTACTGTTTCTCATACGATATACTCTAAACCTAACTCTTACCAAACCAAGATTAAAATATTATGTAGAGGGTTGGGCAAGAATAGAATTTAATTTCAAACATTCCTGAAAATGATACTTTGTTGGAAGATATTTAGAACAGTTTATTTCATAGGTTTCCAGAATCCACCAACTATTTAAAATATTCACTCACTTTTTGAGACCATAGAGATTCATTTTGAATGAACATCTTTTCATCATCTTCACTCCTGACTCCTAATTTCACAGCAGATGTTTCTTTAGATTGAACAAATGGGTCTGCGCAGTCTTTCTGCACAATCCTTCCTCCTCTGGCTCGGAAGTCAGCTACCAATCTGGCCAAGCTTGAGCTACTGTTCAGAGGCTCAGCAATTCTGGTGCTAACAAGTTCATGAGAAGGTAGAATCTGGATAGGCCTGGTTTGGACGCTTCCATTCATCCCTTGTAGTCCAGAGAGATCCCTTAACAATTGTTTCTTCCTTCTGATATCCAGTTCTTTGTACTCCTTGTTGAGCAGAGGAGAAAAAAAAACCTGCTCTGAGAAATATTCTCTAGTGGGACATCTCATGCCTCTCTCTGTTAACAGAAATGGCTCACGGAATGAGATTACTGGGGAAATACAGAGAATAACATCCTTCAGTTCTTGTTTAAATGCTAAAGAAAAAGTTTTGAGACGATCTTCAGAGGAAGTCACTTCCTCTGTGATGTACAACCCAGTGTCATCTTGCAAAGGATCTCTAAACTCCCTGGCCTGACTTTTAGGTTCCTGGTAGTCATTAATTACCCCTAGAAGTTCCAGCTGTTCTGTATCTAAAATTCCTAGTTGTTGTTCAGTCAAGTCAAGAGGTAAAAGTGCTTCAGTAATTATTTTTGGTCTGTAAAACGAATCCACCAGAGGATACCCTTGCTGCTTCTGGAGAGCAGCTTCTTGTAAATCACCACTGATCTGGTCATCCTCTTCTGTCAAAGTCTGTTCTTCAAGGGAGCCTATCTCATCTAGAGACACAGATTCAGATATAACAGGCAACTTGTCTGAGACTACATCAGCCTCTTTTCCTACTGTGTCAAATTCTCTGTTCAGCAGATCTTGCTGCCCTTCTTCTTCCCCCTGTTCTTCCATCAGACTCTGGAAGGAACCATTTTTATTCAACTGAGGAGGCATGGCAAACTCGTCCATAAGGAAGGAGATCTCCAACTGGGAATGATAGGCCACACAGATCATAAAAATAAGGATCTCCTTCACTCGAGCCAATTCATACTCTCCTGCACCACGCAGCTTGACAGTGCAGCCCAGGTGTTGAGGGCAACCTTCAAAAAACATCAGAGTTTTTGTTTGCTCTGAAAGAGAAGAAAATGATTCTTACTACAAAATGATGCTTATTCTCTCTACATAGGATGGTGCTTTGGCCAATTTGTTTATGTTAGTCAAAGTTATTAATGATTCAAAATGTATTCAAAACACAGTCAAATCAAAAATTCAATTAATTTCCATTATATCTTTCAATCCATCAAGTTCTAGAGTTTTACTTATAGCTTGATCAAACACTTTTAAACTGTAAAGATATCATGAAACAAAAGTACACACACAAATACGCATCAAGTAAAAGAGAATATAAATCTTTATGTAACATCATTTGTTCTACCTTGAATGTTTTCCAAAATAATCTTTGGTTAACTTTCCATAAAACTGCAAGGATATTATAGCAGAATATTCAGCTACTGAGAAAGGCCTCCTGGGTTTTAGCATTTTCTGCTTAGTTTGCGTATTTCATATGATGCACGGTATTTTTTTTTTTTACTTCCACAAACTTAGGCCTTTGACAAAATGAGATTTTGATCCATGAAATGTTTTGTCATATTCTATGTTAGCCTTCATTATTTTGTTTTTACTGCAGTAGATGTGTAAGTATGTCTTCTTTAGACATTTCATATTTATAACAGTCTGTGCTCCAAGTTTGTACTAAACATGCTTTAGAATGTATATCTGCAGTATGTCAAACGAATGTAAGTCCTTATGGAGAAGAAAATGAGATACATAAAAAGAAAAATCCAGAAGAGTAAATATAATTTCAACAAAACCAGCTAATGAAAATTATGATTAGAAGGCTAAACCAGAAGACCCAATTCATATCTTACTACAAATAGGGCTTGGTAAATAGAAGAGGCACAAAATGCTCTCAGCCTTAAGTCTGCTACTTGCAAATAAGAATTCTGTCCTAACTTTAGGATGGCCATAAGAAAAGCACTTCCTAGCTTTTATTAATGTTGTCAATCAATCATATAAAATTTATCTTCACATTAGTCTAGCCCACAGGTGTCAAACTCACCGCATCACGGGATGTGATGTATCGTGAATTTTTTCGCATTGCCGGAGCTGGGGTGAGTGCGGCCTCAGCATGATGCAACCAGCCTGTGGGCCGGCAGTTTGACACCCCTGGTCTAGACGGACGGACAGACAGACAGACAGACAGACAGACATAAGAGGATAACAGAACTTCTTGGCTTTACTCACCATTAGGTAACTGGAACACCTGAATATAAAATTTATGGCAGGTCCCAAGGTGTGGTTTGGTTAACAACTGATCCATTGACATCAGTACATCTCCCTGGGTCATCCGACTTACTCGATCCAGAACATGCTGCAAAACATTAATAAGATAAAGACTGCTTTTGGTTTCTTATGTCTTTCCTTCTTCATCAGACTGATATCCCACCTTTCCTCTGAAGAACATAAAGCGGTTTACATGAAAAGCACCCAAATTTTGATCATGTGACCATGGGGGCATTGCAACAGCCATAACTTTGAGCACAGGTTGTAATTCTCTTCATTCAGAGCCATATTAATTTTAAACAGTTGCTGAGTGAACAGTCATAAGTTGAAGACTACCTATATTATTTTCTGATTCCATTTCAAAAGTCTCCTTCAGTATTTTATTTTACAGGCCTGTATAAATGACCTCTGCCTAAAGTCTTTATCTATTGCTGAATTGCAAAATACTGCTGGGTCATGACTGTGGATTAGACCATCAGCTCTAATCACAATTCAGATTGTAGACAAGTAGAAAAAAACCCAAAATGACAAAAACAAGAGATCTATTTAAGAAAATGAGGGAAATCACAAGAATACGATTCTTGTGAGATGGGGAGGCTATATAAATTTGATAAACAAACACATAAATCATTCAGCCTTGTGTTAATGTCATAAAGAATAAAGCATTAAAAACATCCTGGCAGAATGGCAAGAAAATAGACCCGCAAAAAGAAAAATACTTTACAGGGTACTTTAGGGCAGAGGTCCCCAACCTTTTGGGCATCTGTTCTGTGGAGAGAGGCTTTTTCGCAGACCGGTGTCGCATGGTTTTGTGTGCTGCCTGCATCCTGCGGATGGGGCTTGTTTGCACGGACCAGTTTCTGGTATGCCGTGGGTTGAAGATCCCTGCTTTGGGGGCTTTAATGTATACTTCTTGATCCAATCCCTTTCTCGAACCTTTAAACCTTTTTATACAAATTTTGTTTTTGCCCAATAAATGAAAGCACCACAACTCTTTTTATCAAAAATATACCAAAATTTATTTACATGCTGCATTTACACAAAAAGAATAATGTATCTATACATTTCATTACATTTTACCATATTTAAGATGTATGAGCTTTTAAAAATGTGGAAGCACTTTGAAGTATGCAATCATAATATAATTCAGAATGTTAGTACTTACAGGTTTAACATTAATGACCAAAGTAATTCCTTGTTCCAGAAGCAGGTCTTGAGCAATACGGGACACTGTTTTTTCAACCAAGACCAAAGTAGGTCTGACATCCACTATTCGTTGAACATAATTTTTCAAAAACTCCCTTTCCTAAAATGATTTTAAAAAAAAGTCTTTGCAGTCATTACTGAGCATTACACAATCAAGAAGGGTTACTAGAGTATTTCTGGAGTTCTTCAAGATTGAACTTGAAAAACTTGAGAGTTTCTTTTCTTTTTATGGGATATTCCCAAAGGATGGAAGCAACGAGGAAAGTAAATGCCTTCTTAATTTACATATCATCTAAATTGTGCATGCAACAGATTATATAATTGGATCATAAACTGAAAAAAAAATCAGATACATTTCTAAAATTTCAGCTCACTCATTAAAAATATTTTATTTCCAAAATGCTAGGACACATTCTTTTTAAGATTGAGAAGAAATGCTTCAAAATTGTTTCATTTTTGGTTAAATTATTGACAATATATTTACAAATTCTCACACATGTAATGTCTGATGTCAAAATTATGAGAAATATTCTTCATTTCTTTTTGCTATCCTTTTTGGAACTGACCAACTAGTATAATATATCTGCCCCTATATAAATAGGTTCACAAAGACTAGCTTTACATAGACTTTAAAATCGTGTCTGTGTGTTTGTGTGTGTGTGCACATGCGCATATGCATACACAGTTGATATGTTAATTGTTTGAATTTTTGTCCCATTCAAACGTAACAAATCCGACTCTAGGATACAGTGCTCATTTCCATTTCTTGGCCAAAGAAGCCAGTGTTGTCCAAAGATATTTTCTGTGGTCTTATGTCCAGCATGGCTATACACCGTGGAACACTATTATTTTCTCACTGAAGTGGTACCTATTAATCTACTCACATATGCATGCTTTTAAACTGTTAGGTAGGCAGGAACTGGAATACTATTTTCTTGAACACTAGAAGTGTTAAAATCAATATCATTCACTGAATATTTTCTAAGTATATGTGAAACATAAAATGCACAGTACTGGGTATTTCATATCAAATCTGCTATGAAGAAAGATGGTGACAGACGCACTTATTTCCTGTACATTTTTACTGTAAAATTCCCAAATATAAATGTGCTATAAAAATATTACTGTGTATTTATAATTGTATAATAAATATTAAATATAATATTACTCTTTGCAGCTAAAAAGTCTCTAAAATGGAAGCCTTTAGCAATTAGCCTGAGAATAGCTAGTCAAACACAAAGAAAATGTTACTAAAATCAGTCTCAAAAATCCATAAACAATGCAGGATAAACTAATTCATTAGACTTTGATTTAATGTTAATTTGAATAAATAGGACAAGGAAAATAAAACCATTCTCACCTGGAGGACGATGGGATCTATGCATGTAAACTTTGTTTCTTCTCGGTAGAGATATTCAATGGAACACTTCAGCAGAAGGATTTTGGGGTTTTTAATATAGGAATTCATCTGGAATGAGATAAAAATTATGAAATGCATTCCTCTGCAAGTTTGTATTACAGTGTAGATAAAACAAGTTTATAGCTCAGTGTCACACAGGTAAAGTTTGAAAATTCTGAAATAGAAAATAGAAAAATGTGGGATAGACAGCAACACCATTAGATGGCTGACCAACCACACTCAACGTGTAGTCTTTAATGCAACTACATCTACATGGAAGGAAGCATGTAGTGAGGTACTCCAAGACTCTCTCTTAAGCCCAGTACTCTTCAACATTTTCATGAATGATTTAGATGGAGGGTTAGAAGGGGAACTCATCAAATTTGCAGATGACCCCAAGCAGGGAGGAATAACCAATACTTTATAGGCTCAAGATCCAGAAGGATCTTGAGAGACTTGAACTCTGGGCACTATTCAACAAAATGAAATTCAGTGGTGAGAAAAATAAGGTGTTACATTTAGGCAAGAAAAACTAAATGTACAGGAATAGAATAGGTGGTGTCTGGCTCAACAGCACTAACTGTGAGAGGGATCTAGGTGACCTAGTGCAGTGGTTCTTAATCTGGGCGATATCACCACCCAGGGGGCGATTTCGTTTTTCAGGGGGGCGATGGAACAAAAAGGGGCGACGTTGGGGCGAAGGAACAAAAGGGGGGCGATATGGGGGCGATGGAGCGAGAAGTTTTGGGGACACTTTTGAGACTTTTTCGTACAGTAAAGTAAAGGTGGCTTTCAAAAGGAAAGTTTGGGAATAAAGTGATGGGTGGCACCAAAATTTTTCACACAGTTGAGATATGGGAAAAAGACTGGAAATAAATTATTTGCATCGTTATGTCCAGATGACAATTTTAAAGAAAACAAAAGAAGTGTTTGCATAAATTGAAGAATTATTTCCTATGTTGTGATTGAGAGGGGGGCGATGACAACTTCCTCATTGGCTCAAGGGGGCGATTCATTCAAAAAGGTTAAGAACCACTGGCCTAGTGGACCATCACTTAAGTATGAGCCAGCAGTGTGCTGCAGCTGCCAAAAAAGCCAATGCAGTTCTAGGCTCATCTACAGAAAAATAGTATCAAGGTATTAGTGTTAGTAACCTTAAAAGAACTGCATCCAGTACTGATCACGATACCAAAAAAAAGTTGAGACTCTAGAAAGGGTGCACAGAAGAGCAACAGAGATGATAATGGGACTGGGGGCTAAAACATACAATGAATGATTACAAAAACTGGATATGTCTAATCTAATGAAGAACTTGGTGTGACATGATAGCTATCTTCCAATATTTGAGAGACAGTCACAGAGAAGTGGGGATCAATCTCTTCTTCAAAGCACCTTAGGCAAGAGATCCAATCTACAACTAAGGAGAAATTTCCTGACAGTGAGAACAATAAATCTTTGGAATGGCTTCCCTCCAGAAGTGTTAGGTACTCCATCACTGGAGGTTTTTAAGAAAAGATTGGACAGCCATTTGTCCGGAATAATATAGGGTCTCTTGCTTAAGAAGGAGGTTGAACTAGAAGACCTCCAAGATTCCTTCCTACTTTATTACTTGTTATTCTGTCATTCTTACAAATATTGGCTCCTCTTCATCATAGGTAAGTTCTCCCTACTGAGATTCTGCAAGCACATCAAAATCCATTGAAAGTAAATTTCTCAAGATCTCCATAAAAACTTGATCCACATCAGTCTAGAAAAGTTTATAAAACTTAAGTCCAGTGCTCAGTCACATCCACAAGGTCACAGTTTATACAACAATATTGTATCTTCCCAAGAGGAGCCATCCTGTCAAAATCACTGTGAGAAGCATTAAATCTTCCAAGTAGTCACAAAACAGCAACCTGTCTTACTGTGATTAGAGTTCATGACTTCACCAACAGGAAAGCACAGGATACTCATAACTCATTAAAAGGAAAATTGATGCTTATCAAAAATACATCAAAAAGCATCTGTGTGATTCTCCAGACTCATGGATAAATGTTCTATAGAAAAATGGGTGTCATATCAAATGCTACATTCCATTATCCCAACTGCCAAGCATAGAAATGATGGTTTCATTGTCTAGAGTTGCCTTTGCTGCTTTAGGCTCTAAGTGACATTTCATCATATCCAAAAATTCAAGGGAAAAGGGCGGACAAATACTTTTTTTACAGAACTATGGTGAAGTGTGATAACATCAAAAGAGCAAAATATGCTGTGTCGTTAAGAATTGCATAGAACATTCATAATGTTACTGTTCTATTTCCCCCCCCAATTACATAAAAATAGTTCCACTATACCTTTTTATGTGCTATGTTTTTGGTGCATACAAAGCCATTCACCACTACTGAATCAAATTTTTTTCCACCTGGAATCTGCAAAATTACAATAAAACATTAGGTTATATTTGTATTTTCTACTTTCCAACTTAAATTAGGAAACAAACTAGTTCTGGTTCTCCTATCCATACCGGCTGGTGAAAATGGGAGTTAGCAAGGAAGCAGCAGCCAACACAATTGTGTGGATAGTTGGGAGAAGAGAGGAAGAAAATTTCATTTTAGAATAAAGTTAAATACATAAAATGACACATTAAAGATTATGTCAGAGTAAAATACAGATTTAAGGTAGGATGAATATGAGCCACTTCTCAAATATAATTAATTAATAGCCAGTCTGGTGCTTTACCCTGTCCTGTTTTACATAACTAAGAAAAACAGAAAGACAGGCGAATTCCTGGTAATAGGAGCATAGCTGGATCAATGTGTTACCAATAGAGCAGCAACAGTAATATTAAGAAAAGCCATCGTTTGAAAGTGCCCCCTCCCCTGAGTTAAGCCTTAAGAGTCACTTCTTTTCTCCTTTTTCAGTTCTAAACCTACAGAGACTCACTTTTTTGATATGGACGAACTGGCGAACGTCCATGTCATCATCTCTGTTCTTGACATCAGGTCGCACCGTCTGAACCACCTGGCAGACCACCGGCACAATGATATCTCGCCAAGAGAGGGACAACGCTTCGTTGTATAGCAGCTGTTGAAGCAGAGCCATCATGTGGTTATGATTAGCAGAGCTGCAGGTAAACAGGATAAAGGTTCAAGAGAGAGGAAAGCTACAGTCATTACGGATACTGGGGCAGATTCTTTGCAAATATATGTGCTTTTTGTCCAGTGGTGAACTTCAGATGTCAATTGCAAATGCTCAAAATTCGCAAAAACTTTGGACAGAAGGAAAAATTTGTAAGTATGTAGCACCAGGATAAATACTTCCAAATGAAAAAATAAGTCCTCAAGAGTGTGTAAAATATGTGACTTGGTTAGACATTAACATCTGGTATACAAGCCATTTATCTGAAATCCTCTTTGTATTTCTGGCTAAGAGTTAAAAAAATGTTTTAAAAAAAGAATTATAAGTTCTTCGTGAGACTTTTATTGTAGGTGGGTAACAAAGAGGTTTATTTCCATAAACCTCTTTCAGTAGTCAAGCAGTAATAATCCACAAGCTCTCTGCCTTGCACTGATGTCAAAGTCCAGATGATATGTTTAGTACAAGTAGTCCTCAAGATATAACCGTAATGAAGCATCTCACTTAACAATCCCAACATCCTACATTCCCCAATGAACTGATAAGTGAATGTGTGGGTTGTTATGCAGAGCATGGGGTACCTCAGGGGTGGGGAGGTCTTTGAAGCCCTAGTACAGGTCCAGCCCACTTTGGGAGGTCCTCTCAAGACCTTTCCCATCCCACCTGTGCTCTGCTTCCTGCCTCTGGGGTCTCTACAGGTGTTTTTCCACTCTCACTAGGTCCTGCAGGCTTTAGGCCTGATTCCCATCCCATTAGGCCATATACCCTCCTCCTCACTTTTGAAAAGCTCTGAAGCCTTCCAGAGTGCTAGAATAGATCGTTTCATCACAAGGCTCATGGCACAATTCCAGAAGTAGGTGCTATTTTGTCCCACCTACAAAATGGCAGCTATGTGGCCCGGGGAAAAAAGTGTCCCATTTTGTTGCCTTAATGAGCTTCTGAATACTGCATTTTGCTTTAATGCGGTTTGCACAGTACTGCAGAAAGCTTCTGCAGTGCTGTGCAAACTGCATTAAAGCAAAATGGATTGCTTTATCACCAGTGCATGGCACGATTCCAGAAGCAGCAGCAATACAGAGATACGTGATGATTCAGAACCATGTGGCCTGTCTTCGTTCTTCAACATGAAGTCATGAAATCTTCAAAAGGTAAATTGTGATGGGTGACAGACATATGGAAAGCAGGCCCATATGCTGTGGCATTCCGGTGGGGTGGGACCAGAGAGAGGTGTGTGTGTGGGAGGGTCCTGCAGTGTACCTGTGGTTGTTGATAAGGGTGAATGACTGCAGTGGCACTGCAGCCGTCATAACTTTGAAATGGGGTTGTATGTAGGTTTTGATGGTCTGTTGTTAACTTTGAAGAGCCATAAAATGACCAGTTCTATCTTAAGGATTATCTGTACTACCCTTTTCGGAGGACCTAAATTTGGAATCAGGGGAGAAAGTCAACTAAAGTCCATACATTTTCTTGTTCTTAGCAAAACTATCCATTTCATTATTTACCACTTTTCTCTTCCTGCAAGATCTTAATGAGAAACATTTCTACGAACTTGTTTTTTTTCAAATACGTGAAACAAAACTTAGAAAATATATTTAGTATTAAAACTCTTTTCAACTCTTATACACTACAGAAATTAAGAACAGATTTCCTGTTTCCTACTTCTCACACAATATATAATAAATGTCTGTAAATTGGTGCCACAAGGGAGCCGTGGTCACTATACTCAAAGTTAAAATATTCTCCAGGTTTCATTCTTATTCACTCAACTTACAGCAACCTCTCCATGGCCTGTTTTTCCCCATTTTCCTCCCTCAGCAGATCCAGATTGCTGTGATGCCAGCCTAGGGGTGTGAAGAAAAGCTCTTTGGATTTTTCTTCAACCCTCCGATTAAAAAGTGACTCTAAAAAACAAACAAAAATGGAGATAGAATTGCATATTTTCATATTAATTTGTGCACCAAATACTGATAATCAATTCATTTTGTATCATTTTGCATAGATCTACGTCCTGCAGCCATAACAAAATTGCAGGGAAGCATTATTGGAAAATTTGCTGTATCCTGCAGTCAGACAGACGAAGGAAGACTTCTTTCACAAGTCCTAGATATGGGGAAAGATTGCACTGAATGTATCACTTCTCCTCATGGAAAGTTACTGTGACCCATCTGATGATATGATTGGCACTTGGTTCCATCTTTATTATATTTTATTATTTTTTTACTATATTTTATTATATTTTGCAATAACCCGTCTTTTTTAAAGTCATGAGGCATTAATAGCCATTGATTGCAAAATCAACTCTAGAAACGTGAAATCAAAATCAGTTTTCAGAAGTGTGAAAAATCAACTTTTAAAAGCATCTCAATTTTTACAAGAAATATTTAAACTAACATAATTATTTCAGACTGAAAAGATAGGCGTTACTCTGGATCTATAATCTTAGATTTATAGATAAAAGCTCAGTTTTCATTTATGAACTATCAACACCATGGAAAGACAGATGAATATTATGAGGTCAATGTTTAATTATTTATTTAAATTAGACAATGAAATCTTGTATAGGTTTTGTGTGCTTTTCTCTTTTTCTGTTTTACATATAAAAAAGTAAAAGACTAAATCTCAAAACTGTTTCAATACATTAACTTTTTAAAAAATGTTTTTTTAAAAATTTAAAAAACTATTATGATTGTAAAGACTTGAGGCAGACCAGGATTTTCGAAGTGCTTTAAGGATATTTTTGCTATTTTCATTATTCTATGGCTCAAATATACCAACTTTAATTCATATGGAAAGATTTCTTATAGGTTAACATACTGCTTTTTTATTTGTTCAAATAACACATGATGAAACGTAGAAATAGCTATAAAGTTTGTTGAATTATTTAAGCAGAAGAAATGCTTAATGTGTTAAGACATTAATTAGTTCAAGTTGAACTTTATAGCTTTAAGCTTAAAAGAAAACAAGTTAATTTAAAAGAGAAATGCCAAAAACAGAAGCCAGAAAGAAAGGCATGGTTTTTTAAGTACTGAAAGACTTCCACAGGTAAGACTGTCTTTACTCCAGTTGTATGTATTCACAGCACTTGGAGGGAGAATAATTTGACATTCACCCAATGTTATATGATCCCATTTTCTGTAGTGGTGGGCATCCCTTTCACATTCAACTTACCTTTGATGAATGCATCACTTATTGAGATCATCTGTTGTCCTCCATTGTCAGCAATCATATACTCTGAATGAAGAGAGAAAATAGAGAGATGGGAGAAGAAAAGACAGGTTATGCTTCTATGCTATTATATGACATACACACCCATTCATTCCAGGAGAGAGTAACAAACATGAGTCACTGTAATAGGAAGGCCTGTCCTTAGAGAACCTGTCTCATTCTTTCTCATTCATTGTGTCAGCATAAATACTAAATTATCATCCAATGGAGCCAGTATGATATGAAAAAGATGCTGAATAAAAATATTTTCCAATTTACAGTGAGGCTTAATTAACTTCTTATATGGCCAGTATTTAAACAAGACAAAGAGTGGTCTTATTTTTTTTTAAAGTGGATTCTTGGTTGCCACATCTAGGACAAGAGATGTATTAAACATGCCTCACACCCCTTTCCTACTTCCCCTGACAACAACTCAGTTATTCAACTCTGTCCTCAGTTAATGGCTGGGGGAAAACACAACACCTTTGGACTTGACATTCTACAGAGGAGAATTTATTCCATGGGAGAATTGGGACAGCAAATTTGTATTCTTACCTTGTCCCCACAAGCTCTTTCTCCTAGGACAAATACTGCCAGAAGCATGATTAAAATAAAAAATGCCTCTCTTACACAAGTTGCTATGTTGGTATCTCAAAGAGCAGAGAAGACAGCTTTAAGGGAGAGCTCATTGCCCCCCTTCATTACTTCAGCATGGAATTTAGTTCTTTCTTTGTTCACCATTACAAAGATCTGAGTGGGCCTGATGTTACTTTTGCATACTACATAAACATACATCCAGTGTAAATTAGGACACACTGCTACAAAAAAACAGCTTAAATCCTATTTTAAGCACTCATCTTGTTCTACATATTGGAGGGGGGGAATCTGTGGTCCTCTGCTCCTTCTCTTGAATGGGATTTTGCTGAACCCCAAGTACAGTTACACTTCAGAGAGTTTATGAGGCAATGTATACATTACTAGTGAGCCATAGCAAACGGACCCCAACACCATTATTAAGATTCTAGAAGTAAAGGCAGTATCAATACAATTCAAACACAATTCCCTTTACACTGTACTGAGTTATCCTGAATACTACAAACTACATTTTGAAAACTTTTTAGTGAGGGAGTGTTGATTTACCAAGCCGTCTAGATTTAGATGTCCACAACATAATTTCTGAGACAATGAACTGGTTGCCAAAGAATGCAAAATATAATCATGCCCATTTGTACTTATTATAGTTTTTGAACCATGATATGTGAACTCAGCTGACTATGGAATATTCTACAAAGCATGGTTTAAAAAGAAATATTTTAGTTTGAGTTCTGAACCAGTCAATATATCATAATCCCAAATTACTCACATAAATATTCTGCCAAAAATCTTCCCTTAAGAGAATGACCCTTTACATCATGTTGTTTTCAGGAGAGATAGGCAATGTTTTTTGGTTATAAATATATTTGAAGTGCTGAGTTCTGTCACAGATACTCTCAAAAATAACTGCTATGGTAGCTTGCCTAGTCACAAAATGGCTGCCATGTTGGGCATGGCCAATTGCAAACCAGCCATTAGCATGGAATTGATGCCACTATCCTTTTATCCTCCCAAGGTACTCTCTGTCATACCACATGGTTTTTATTTCTGCATGCCTGGGCTTACTTCCAAATATTCATTCATTTGATTTATTGGTCAATTTATATCAACAACTTTCTGCCCAGCAGCTAACGGTGTGGGGGAGGAAGAGCCCTATATTAGTTTCAAAGAAATTTATTTGCTAAGGAAGCAGCTGTAAATGTCTGGATATTTAAGAGATGTAATAGCTCATCACTCTACACAGCTAGGATCATTCAACTGTTTGTATATTATTATCATTGCTATATATTGCATTGTCTTACTTTGAAATATAAAGTTAAGGGAACTTCCATTTCTTATATGCTCTTTCTTTCCCCCCCCCCCTCAAATTTGCATACTCCAGGAATCATTCCTTGCTTCAAAAAAGTAATTGCTGGATCAAAATAAATTTCTTCCAAAATAACACTCTTCCAAAATATTTATAATTCTTACTAAAATAGAAAGTGGTAATCAACAGTGGCTAAATCTTCAGATATGCCTTCCATGATTTTTTTTGAGTATCCATTTTATTTTATTTTTTAGGAAAGATGACCGACACTTACTCATTGGGTAATGAAACATCATCATAGACTAACTTAATACTATGTTGCAGTGAAACAATGATTTAAAGCAGCTTTTAGATCCAAGTATATGAAAACTAACTGGGTGATCTTAGGCCAGTCATTCTCTCAGCCCAATTCACCTCACAGAATTCTTGCTATGGGGAAAATAGGAGGAGGAAAGTGTATTGGATATGTTTGCTGCCTTGAGATATTTATAAAAAAAATAAAGGCGGGATATAAACAGAATAAATAAAATAATAAATACTTGGAGTCACAGTGATAGAAACATCATTTTAATGTCTTAATCTGCATAAAATTCAAAGGGTTTGGACAAAATGCCAGGCAAAGATAGGTTGGTTTCATAAATGACTGAAACATTTCTGTAACATTTCCCACTGATTGCCAAGATTTTTCTGCTTCGAAGTAAAATTTCTTTCCTTTCCAATGAAACACAAGAAATATTTTCAAAAGCATTTGGTATATTAGTATCATGCAATAATATTAGAGAAATGAAAATCATTCACAAGAACTGACATTATTAGTATTAATTTTAGTGAGCAATGTTATTCCATGCACGAAGCAGCAGAATCAAATACTGAATTATGATATCTAAGGTTATTGTTAGCTTTTGTCATTAGCATGGGCACCGGAAAGTTTACCTTCTTTATTTTCTTTTCTTTAGGAGAGCCAGAATCCTCTAATGATTTTTGTGAAGTAAAGTTATCAAAAGAAACAGAATTAGAAAAAAAGCTCTTCCTTATCTGGAATTTTTCATTATTTTGTAAGGCTCCCAGACTCCCTCCAGCAGTGAGGTAGGCAGCATATAAATTTAACAGAATAATAGATTTGTAAAGGGCCTTGGAAGTCTTTCAGTCCAACCACCTGCACAAGCAGGAGATCCTATTACAATTCCAGACATGCAGCTGTCCAGCCTCTTCTTAAAAGCCTCCAATGATGGAGCACCACAGCTTGAAGGCAAGCTGTTCCACTGGGTTTTCACTGTCAGGAAATTTCTCCTTAGTTCTAGGTTGTTTCTCTCCTTGATTAGTTTCCATCCATTGCTTCTTGTCTTCCCTTTTGGTGCTTTGGAAAATAGGTTGACCCCTCTTTGTGGCAGCCCCTTAGATATTGGAACACTGCTACCATGTCATCCCTAATCCTTATTTTCACTAGACTAGACATACCCAATTACTGCAACAGTTCCTCATATGTTTTAGCCTGCAGCCCCTACTGATCTTTGTTGCTCTTTTCTGCACTCTTTGCAGAGTCTCTATATCTTTTTTATAATATGGTGACCAAACTGGATGCAGTATTCCAAGTATGTTCTTACTAAGGCTTTATAAAGCAGTACTAATACGTCACATGATCTTGATTCTATCCGTCTGTTAATGCAACCTAGGATTGGGTTGGCTTTTTTGGCTGCTGCCGCACGCTGTGGCTCATATTTAAGTGATTGTCCACGAGGTCTCCAAGATCTCTCTCACAGTTATTGCTATTAAGCAGGTTTCACCTAATTTGTATTTGTGCATTTGATTTTTCTTGCTTAAGTGTAAGACTTTACTTTTCTCTACATTGAATTTCATTTTTTTAGATAGGGCCCAGTGTTCAAGTCTGTTGAGATTCATTTGGATCTTGAACCTATCTTCTGGATAAATTTAATAATTTATTTAATATTTAAATAAATATTAAATATTTATTTAACAAATATTAAATATTTATTTAATAAATAAATGTTACTATTAAGAACTTAAGAAGGGGAAGACCTTTTACTGCTTTCATTCGGATAAGTAAAAGAAAGTCAGAGTTTAAAACGCTTTATGCTGCCATGGCAACATGCAAGATGCCTGGATTAAGCTACTCTACAACTCGACAATAGATATGACAATAACTTCTTGTTCTTTTAAGAAAGTAGAGATCAAATACCCAAAAGTATTTTGCCTGAGACAGAAAGAGGAAAAGGAAAGTCAGGTTTCTGCACTGGTTTGGACAAACTCTTTAAAATGCTCCATTTAACACTATAATTTTTTGAGACTAAATCCAAATATATTGCTTTCTACCTCAATACTCTACCCAAAATAGGACTGGCAGACCTCTGTCTAGGAAGATCTGTGTTTATATCTGCTGCCTTCACAGTAGATGTTCATCAAAGCTCTTATGCTCCATGGAGAAAAGGCATCTGTCAGAGGAGTTATGTAAGAACTCACCAATAGTATAGGCAACACTTGTTTGTGCAAATGAAAAACAGTTAGGAGTTTCAGGATTATTTGGAGCATATCTGAACTGAGGCATCAGCTTTGCTTTCTCTTATGGGTGACTCCAATTGGCAGATCCCTCCTACCTTTCTGGTCAGCAGGATGAGGGGGCACATGTGGGTATTTGGAGTGCTTCTTGATATGGAAGTTCACGTTGTCCAGCTCCACATTCAGGCTGATGGAAGCAGCTGAGTCGCTGTCCATGGCAGACTGGAAGCTGCTGACTGAGGTACGCTTGCTAGGGCTGGCAGAATCTTTTGGATTTCAGTGTGGAGAAGAAAAATACAGGGAGGAGAGGGTGGGTGCAAATAACAGATTTCAGGAGGATATCAAGGAGAGGAGAGACATTATCTTAATTACATGAAATTGACTGCTGGAGAAAGCAAGAAAGACAGTACTTTCATCCACTTGTATTTCATGGCTTTTCTAAAATTTTGATGGTCTTTTGAGAACCATTTACTTTATTAGACCATCATACTACAGAGATAGACCGCAAACACCTTATGCATATTTAAAGCCTGAAAATAAAAGTAAAACAGTCTAGCTGAAAGTGCTGCATCTGGTTAAGCAATCTTCTCAGTCTGGTATCCTCCAGATCAATTGGATTACAAATCCCATTTTTCCTAATGGGAGTTGTAATACTAAGAATTAGACACATCAGTTGGAGGCAATTGGCATAAAAGGATTGGGGGGGGGGAGCATTTGCTTCTACAATAGAGCAGGCAGAGAGCAGCGGAAATGGGACTAGCAGCTAAAATGGAATCCTCAAATGACAGACACAGAGACTCACTAGTCAGATTGTCATCTCCTTCTTCTGCAATTTGCTCTGTGTCACTGTCATCGAATTTTATGTCTTTGAACCACGATGGCTCAGAATGGCCCTCCACGGAGTTGACAGAGTCGCTGTCTGGAGAAGGAGTTTCAGAAAATTCTGTGCTCTATAAAATTAATGAGGGAAGAAATACTAGAACATGAATTATACAGAATGGAGATACAAGATTAACACAATCAGATTAATAGGACACTTGCAGAGGAAATTTTAAAAAATGAGCAAAATGAAGAAGTGTATCTTTTCAAATATATTTTAAGTAACAATATTTTGCTGATAAAATAATCAGAACTCACAAATAAAACAATGAGAAATAAAAAATAAATCAATAGTGGTTTTTGTCTACATGCAGATAAAAGTTAGGAACCACTGTTGAGTAAGGGGTAACGACCTTCTGTTTCACAAACAGGAAGTTTATTTTTTAGCACAGGGAATTGTAACGTCAAACTTTTGCTCTTCTCAAAACTCTCTTGTTCTTCAAAGTTCTTCTAAATGGGGAGAAAATCTGTTGCCAGGCTAATAAAACCCATAGGAAATTCAAATGATCTCAAGTGTGTGGGAATTCTAGTCATGAAAATGAGAATGTTACCAACCACTCAATGGACAGCCCAAGGAATTTGTGGTTTTGAAGTCTACATGCTTTGAAACGGATCCACATGTGATGTTAACATGTTAGAATTCCTAGTTTTCTTAAACTTCATGACATACTTCTTTAATTTGCTGCCCTCTCTTACAGGGATAAAGATATTTAATGATAGCCAGTAACTCATTCTTTCCCCCATTCAGTCACATACTATTCTTTAGAAAATATAGCCCTACTAATTATTGGTCACCATCATAATATTACAGAAAAGTTCTTATATTTGTAACACAATTCAGATAACAGCTTTGGGAATATTGGGATCAAGCCAAGGTAATTATACTGAAACTCAATTTTTGCTTCAAGGTTAGTATACTTTGCGACAGAGGACAAATACATACGCACTAATTGAGCAAGTTTCTTGCTAATCAAACAAAAATGACATTAATCTGTTGCATCTCAAAGGCCAATTTTGACCTCATCACAGATGAATTCTACAAATGCAAGTCTGAAGCAAGCATTATTGTAGACAGAACAGAAGGAATTTCTAGCAACAAACATTAAGCAATGTTTAGATAAGAAATAATCCTGGTATAAATTGCTAATGTGGGTTTATCCTTATTTTTCTCCAAATGTGCATGAGACCACATAAATCAAATGCTCATTTCTTCTGAATTTTTCAGTAGTTAAAAAAGCTTTAGAATTTTTCTCCTATTACTGAAGCAATTTTATTTTATTTATTTCAAAAGACAGATAAGAAATAGATACAATACATAGAGTTTTGAATTAGGTATTACTTCTTTACAACTGTAGGCAGTCGTTAAATATGGCCTGGCAAAAATGTTTGTTGAGCAAATAACTCTATCACCAGACTCTCATCCTGTGTATGACAGGAAAGTCTAAACTAGATCTGCACAATTCATAGAGGGAAAGGGCTGCATTAATAAATAAAAACTAACTGTAGACCACAAAGGAATATCTGGCACACCTATCAACTGTTCACAGCCAGCAGGGTAGCAGCAGCAATGGAGCTGGCCACACCGATGAGGCTTGCGGGTGTTGGAGGTGCTTGGTAGCAAGTCTTTCAGACTGGTGGCGGATCCCCTTTAGTGGCAGCAATATTCGGTGGCAGTAGAATTTAGTTTCAAAAACATCAGCAAGTCACACCAGGCTGCTTTGCAGGCTGGCTGATCTAAACTGTTACATGTTTGATATCTATATTTAAAGTCCTCAGGTTTGGTTTTGTTTTGTTTTTTAAAAAAAGTCTTGATTTATTTTTAAAAAATATCTGTCCTCTGATTTTTCTTCTTTAGTTCTTGGAAAATGCCTTCTTTTCAATGAAAATTCCATAAATTTCTAGTTTATTTCTTGACCTAAGGTAAACTTGCACACATATTTATTTTATATGCCACACATCTTACTCCGAAAAGCTGCTCTGGGCAGAAATTATCCTTATTTTTCTTATTATCCTTATTTAATTACCAGAAATTAAATTGCTTTCACACACTTTTTAAAAAGAACAAATGGACGCACTTTCTAAATAATTGTTAAGTGAAATGCAAAGGTCATCATGAAACTACAAAAGTGCTATTCTGAAATTTCTGCCTCAAATGGATCCAAAGTCACAAGACATCAATACGATGTTTTTCTCCAATCCACATATAACTTTTTCACAAAAGAAATCCATACCTGTAATGGTCTGTAGAGTGCATACTCATCTCTAAAGATTTGATCATGGTGACTGACGCAATCCAGCCAACGCCCATCTACTAAAGCCTGCCCTATTGCAATTGCTTGAGCTCTGGAAATAAAACCATTTTAAATCCCATGTTAATGAATAAATGAGTTTTTAGTTTACTGTAGAGATGTGTTCTGATTACAGTGCTCCGAAGTAAATAATACATATAGACGGTATAAGATTAAGGTGGTTTTAAAAGTGAGCTTCAGAAATCTTTTTCCAACCAAAGGATAACCAACCCAACAACCAGTTTGGTGAATTAGTTAAGGTGCTGGACTACTAGCCAGGACTCAGTTTTAATCCCCCCTTAGAGACATGGAAGCTGGCTGGGTGATTTTGGGCCAATTGCTCTCTCAGCCCAACCCACCTCACAGAGTGGTTATTCTGAGGAAATAGGAACATAGAGTATAAAGCAGACTGCTTTAAATTCTTCAAAGAAGAACAGAATATAAATCAAAATAATATTTTTAAGAAACCCTGTGTCTTTGACCTGCCCTCATGACTTTGCTTTCATCTCATCCTCAATCTCCATATAAGGTAACTTCAAGTCAACCTTAACTGCTATCCTTTTCAAGAGACGCTTCCTCCTTTTAGGCAGGCAAAACACAAGCATTATGCCTCTCCTATTCTCTGGGGATATTCTGGTTTGGGTATAGAGTCCTGGATTTCAAACGCTTCCATTTTACCCACCAGGTCACCAAGCTGATTTCTAGCTCAGAGACACACATTTGAAAAAAGGATCATCGTTTCTAGCAGTGACCAGCATGAGGGACAAAAGGGGAGATGGAGGCTGCCCAGTGGGGTTGGAGAAAATCTCTTGCTATATCACATAATCTCTCTCCTGATGGTTGGTGAGCATTAACCCATGTTCAGAATCAACCCAAACTAATGATAGGAGGACGATGGGTTCTACAAACTATCTGAATCATCATCACAATCCTCAGTTCCCAATACCGTACCTGTTATTTGAACTATTTGAGATTTATAAATACAAAGGATTTTCTGACTCATTAACCATACATACTGAAAGATAATTAATGGACCAAAACATAATTATTCTTATCTAAAAGTTGATTCCCCCAAAGAATTCACTATAGCAGCATGAATCGAGAACAAGAAACATAAAAAATGAGTAGGATGGGAAAGGGTTTGACTGGATATAAAATGCTAGAGTTTAATTATGAATAATTTTACCTCCGCAGAACCCCTGAATTGGAATAAGCTCAACTATTTTTATCTTACTGTCCTAATCCACAAACACTGAGCGTGAAAGACCCCATGACACTCAGTTACCTAGTAGTGATGTGGCCATTCCTTATAAGCCAATTGACCAGCTCCTTTCCTACAATGCAGTTGGGGTGGGTACGCAGCCAGTAGCGATGATCTTGAAACTCCATCCCACTGTTGTGATGGCATATTTTCTTCCACAAATCCTTTAACTGAACTGAGTCCTAGAAGACAAAACGATGACATTTTGAGATAGCACACATTTAGAGGGCTTAAGTGTTCTGTCTTGAAAGGTGCTGTTTACCTTGTTCCAAGGGACTTACAGAATTCCTTCTCTTGCCCCTCCCCTTTCCTGGAGATACTGTTAAGATGGACAGTTTGTTCAAGGGACAAGTACACATTTTGTTTAAGTATTCAGAATTTTTATCATTATCCTTCTGGCTGAGAGAACTTTTAAAAATGAATTGTTGGCTTTCTGACACTTCAGAGATCTTGTGATGCCAAGTATCTTGATTCTTTTTCTTCTTAGACAAGTAACCAAAAAAACCTTTTTGAACATTATGTGATTTTTAGAATTAGAATGGACAATTAGACGGGTTTGGGAACTGGCATTATAGAGTGCCTATGTTCTTCCATAACCCACACAGGCATTGCCATTCATGACTGTCAAATCCCTTGCCCTGCTCTATGTTTAACATTTAAAATACATGGAAAAGCAGTTCCTTCTCTTCCACCTACTCCATCCACTTCTTTGCTTTCACTGGTGTATATCTGCATACAAACATTTCTCAGAAAGGAAGAAATTATAGCAGTTGAAGAAACAAACTCCAGAGAATTCAACCTATTAATTAGAATCAATCCTCTTTAAAAGAGAAAAAAAGAGAGAGATGAACTCTGCTACTGATAAATTGAACAGTTTGCATGTGTTTAAAAGGGGATTTTTTTTAATTTGGACATGCTGGGGAAGCTTGCAATGTGGCAGTGTTTTGAAACAATCTAATAGCCCATATATTCTTTTTTTATGGCTATGTTACTTTGATTATGCAGGCCACCACAGGAATCAATCTATGAAATTTTCTCTGTTCTTTAGGCCTACAGGGAGGGAAAAAAATAAATGCTTTTTTTTTAAAGAATATGGCTGAAAACCTTTCTAGTACTCTAGTCTTTTGTAATGCTCCACTTATTTCCTGATTCCTTACAATGCTTGAGAGCTTTGACACCTTCCTCTTCCATTGATAATTAGGATTCCCCTGAGAATAAGTCTAGATTGGCATTTAAAACAACAAGCTATTATTCACTATTGCAAAGTATCCAAAATATTCCAGGAAAGCAAATAAAGATATATGGTCTGGCAAAAAAAAAAAGCAGGATTTTGATGGAAGTTATTCAGGCTTGCACAGAAGACACTATAACACATTGTATATCGTATTAGTGAATATATCTTCTAACACTAACATGTTTGAGGGAGTTCAGAAATGGAGTTCCCTGCAACATCAAACATTGACCTGCACAAGAAACAGAACATCCAAGGTGAGTCCATGAAGTAGGGCAGTATACAAATGATTGCACAAACAAACAAACAAAAAAAATAACCCTTAAGTTACAAAATTCAGAGTTGTGTCAACAAAAGCAGTATCAAGCCATCTACTTCTCATGAGTGTTTGTAGTTAATCCTTAATTAATTGAAATAATATTTCGTGCTAAAGCTCCTATGTTAAATTGGACTATATACTTGTGGAAAAAAAATAACATACCAAGTACTAACAAATGCACAAGCAATGCACATACATGTTACTTATTTCTTTCCTTGTAAAGGGGATTCAAAATAATATAGTTATCTTTTTAAGCTCACCTAAATATACAAGGCTTTTTTTTCTCTAACTGATGCTAATTTTTCTGTGGGGAAAGACCATGCACTTTCTTCATAAGTAGATGATCACATGAAAATAGTTCTTCAAACTTCAAGATTATAATGATAAAAAATGGCATAATCTGCATTTCCTTTGAGGAAACATGAGGTACAAGTAATGCAAAACACAGGCTGTAAACAGAGGACAGTATAAAACAGGTAAACTTAAGAAGTCAAGTACCACAAACGGCAGTAAGTTGATACTTATTTCTGTTGGAAGGATGCAAGATACAAGAAAAGCTTGGCTTGTACCAGAAGAAGTTTGCGTTCGTCCTCACTGGTCTCCTTCATGTAGGTTCGATTAGTTTGTGGACTGACAGATGTCTCATAGGAAGGCACCATGGGAGACCCCGATCGATCCAGAGACAGGTTAGTTATGCTAGCCGATCTGGTGGGAGGAACAGAATAATGCTTGTAATCTTCAGTTCATTCCAGCTGCACTTTAAAATTAACGTTTAACAGAACAGGGCAAAATTTTACCACATGTTTTTAATCACCTCTTTCTCATCAACCAAAATACAATCTAGCTTTCAATATTAGGAACCAAACACAGGAACTTTTTAAAAGGCTAGAAAGGTTAGGAGCTAATTTTTACCACATATATTTCTCCTTTCTTGATTTCCCAAATGATAAGAATTAAGCTGCTTGATTTACTCTCTATGTGGCTTCATGTTGCCAATCTTCAGTACAGGTAGTCCCTGACTTATGACCATGACTGAGCCCAAAATTTTCATTTGCTTCAAATCACATGGAAAACAATCAGAACCTGAATTCTGATCTTCAACCTCGAAAGCATATTTCACCTTGAACTCCCTGTAATCCCTGGTTTATTACTACTCAGTCTTCAAATACAGGGGCTGAGATTTGAATGTACAAATCTCAAGAAAATATGCAAAAATGTCCAAATCCCTATACATGAGTCCCTTCTTTTCATAAATAGTTGAGAAAACCAGACCTTATCCCAAATTAGGAAATGCTAGTTATCAGGTTCAAATGAAGACATTTTTCTGGCTTGATTTTACAAGGATGGACATTACAGAAATTACAGACAATATAACATGTTTTGGATGAATCTCAGGATATTGACAAGAGACCAGGAAGCAAAAGAACAGTGTAAGACATGAGGCTAATACATATCTTCAAGCAAAAGCAATTTTTTGCTCAACTGTCAACTGTCCACAGTTACTCTTGCTATTAATAACGAGATAAATACCCTTCATCGTATGACAGAATCCCGAGAAGGCAGAAATGGGTTTATTTATAGTTGATAATTAGAGATGAAATATAATTGGATTCTGACAGTATGCTTGCTTTATTCTCTATGAAGTACAAAAAATAAAAGTTATGAATTATAATGGTATCGTAAGCTGATGGAGGGGGTGAACAAAGGGGCTTTATGGCCCTCACTTCCTTCAGTACATTTCAAAGGAACTGAATGTGGATAGCACCAAAAGGCCTAATCATAACAAAGGGGACTATTACCTTTCATGTAGTTTTCTCTGAAGTCTCCATCCAGCCGGTAGTAAGGAAAAGGGGATGGGAGTGTAATGCCTGAGACTGTCACTGGAAGTAGGGGATGATTGGGTGGGGCTACTGGGAAACCCCTTAAAACCTTGAATGGGAGAGCTTGGACCCCAAGTCCTGTCTAGAACGCCTGTAACCATTTTCTCTTAATAAAGGATGCCTGTTGGAAGAATTATTCCAAGAGTTCTGTCTTCTTAAGATGCAAAGTGGGGTGGGTCCTTACATTAGACAGGACTTGGAAAATTAATCCACCTGGAAGGGAGACCCTTGCCGGGGGATTTTGCAAAAAATTACCATGTCAGACAATGGAGCAAGAAAGGGGGAAAACTCCCTGGAAAGAGAGCCGCTGACCCAATTGGAACCTTGCCGGATGTTGGGATCCTAGAGGTTAGATTCCTCAGGAGAAGAAGTGGTGGAGACACGGGACCACAAGCCTCGCTGGTCAATGAGCGTTGGAAAGAAAAGCGAGTGGGGAAAGGAATCAAGAAAGGTGACCCTGAGACGGGGGGGCCAAGCAACCAGAATGGAAGTAGGAGATGGAGAAATCCCTGCACACAAGTGAAGAGGGAGAAAGCTGGGAACCATACTCAGACTGGATTCTAGAGAAAGCTAATGACCTGATGAAGAGAATTCTCAGCTCCCTAGGAGAGGAGAATCCTGAGCCCTACGGCCGCCCCAGCGCCTGGAGCCGCAAAAGGAGAGACACCGAGGGGGAAGTGGAACCTGCAGCCCCGGGGACATCTGCTGATCCAGTAGTCCCCACCCCCTACCGAACCACAGATGGCGATCTGGACGGAAGACACTACCACAATAACGGAGGCACCGATCCATTCCAAGACGTCCGCCGTTGGAGGTGAAATTCAAAGGGAGCCAACACGCTTGGGGTTTTTCCTAACCCAAGTCCTCAGCTACATGGAGGAATATGGGCGGGACATCCCAAGCGACAAAGCCTGCATCCGGATCGTACAATCTGCCCTGGATGGACCGGCTGCAGATTGGGTGGTGAACTTGCACGACTCCAATGCCCCAGAACTCAACGACTTCAACCATTTCATGTCCTCTCTGAGAAGACGATTTGAAGACCCCCTGGCTGATCGCAAAGCCCGCAAAAGGATAAAAACGATGAGGCAAGGCAAATGCCCGGTGGCTGAATATACACAAGAATTCCGGGCCATTGCCAGCAAACTGAATTGGCCAAAAGACATCCTCCTTAGCCATTTCAAAGATGGACTAAATTATGACCTATATGATTCTTGCCTGCCCCAAGGGGACCCACACCAACTTGAGGAATGGTACATCTTGGCAGAGGAAGCAGAGATCGACATATTGAAGAGACATCGCTGAGGAAAACAATGGAGCCGCTTCCCGCCTGAGTTGACACACGAACCAGTGAAACCATTGGCTACAGCCAAGAAGCAAATGGGGTGTTTCAAGTGCGGAAGAGAAGGGCATCAAGCTGTAGAATGCCACTCCAAAGCCCCCCAGCACAACCCAGACAGATCCCCAATCAGCAAATCCGGAAAGTCTTCAGCTAAGCCAAAAGAAACTGCCATGAGAATGATGGAAATTGTGGAACCCCCCACCTCTGCTCATCAGGGGGAAAGAACTCCAGCCTACACCGCAGGGCGTGTGGACACCTCAGGTGACAGCTCGGAGGGCGAACCCCTGGTAAGTGGATGCATCGCACCCATCTTCAAGACAGTGACTATATTAATTCTCCCCATGCCCGAAGCCGTGAAGGTGAAAGCCTTAATAGACTCTGGCTGCACCCGCTGCCTCATTAGCCCAACACTAGTGGGGAATCTGGGCATTCCCTCGAGGAGACTGGAACAACCAATCTCATTTGGCCAGTTAGATGGATCCATAGCAGGGGGGGTGCCAGCTACCCTAGCCACTCTACCAATACACCTCTCCCTGGGCAAACATGAGGAGGACATAACGTTTGTGGTGACCCCAGGCATGGAATGCCCAATGATCCTAGGGATGGAATGGTTAAAAAAATGGAACCCCTGGGTAAATTGGAGGATGACAGAAATCAAATTCCCGAAGGGGGACCCTATGGACTTAAAATCCCAAGGGGGGCTACCAGAATCAAGAATAGAAAAAGCATCCATGGGAGAGGAAAAGGGACTAACAGAAATACCAGAGGAATACAGAGACCTTGCTGAAGTTTTCAGTGAGGAGAGGGCGAATGAGCTCCCCCCCACCGACCCACAGACTGTGCCATTGAATTCAAGCCTGGGGCAAAACTCCCGAAGCCCAGATTATACTCCATGAGCCCAAAGGAGAAGGAGGAAATGGAAAGATTCATTAAAAAAAACCTAGAGAGAGGGTTCATTGAGCCAGCCAAACCTAAAGTGGCTGCCCCGGTCCTCTTTAGAGAGAAGAAAGACGGCTTTTTACGCTTATGCGTGGATTATAGGGCCCTGAATACAATCAGCGAAAGCAACCTATACCCTCTGCCCCTCATGAAAGATATACTGTCACACCTCTCGAAAGGGAATTTTTTTTCTAAACTAGACCTAAGGGAAGCTTACTATCGCGTGAGAATTAAGGAAGGGGACGAATGGAAGACCGCATTTAACTGCCCCATGGGGTGCTATCAATTCAAAGTCTTGCCATTTGGATTACAAGAGGGCCCTGCAGTCTTTATGCAATTAATCAATGATGTTCTAAGGGAGCACCTGTTTAAGGGAGTCCTTGTTTACTTGGACGACATTCTTATCTTCACCAAAACAAAAGAGGAATATGTCAACCTTGTCAGAGCGGTTTTAAAGAAACTGCGAGCCGCCCACCTATATGCCAAACTCTCAAAATGCGAATTCCATCAGGAAAGGATAGACTACCTAGTTTATCGCATATCCCCCCAGGGCATTGAAATGGACCCAGAGAAGGTCAGAGCAGTATTAGAATGGGCACCACCCCGCACAAGAAAGCAACTACAAAGTTTCCTGGGCTTTGCAAACTTTTACCACCAATTCATCCCCTCATTTGCCCAGATAGCCTTGCCCCTCACTAACTTACTAAAAACGAAGGGAGTATCCTCGGTAAAACCTAGCCAGCCACTAACATGGACAATGGAGTGCCAAGCAGTGTTTGAGAGACTAAAGAGACTTTTTTCTGCCGAACCAGTACTAAGGCACCCAGACATGGACAAGCCCTTCGTAATACAGGCAGATGCAAGTGATGTGGCAGTGGGGGCTGTTCTATTACAAGAAAACGATGATGGAGTATTGCAACCCTGTGCATATATCCAAGAAACTCACGGAAACAGAACAGCGCTGGCCCATATGGGAGAAGGAGGCATACGGGATACATTGGGCATTACTCACGGGGCGACAGTTCCTGGAAGGCAACAAAATCCCCTTCCAGGTGTGGACTGATCACAAAAATTTGGAAGCCCTGAAAACGCCCAGGAAACTCAATCCCAAACAAGCCCGCTGGTCCCAGCATTTTCACCAGTTCCAATTTAAGTTCAAACATTTACCAGGGAGAAAGAACTTCCTGGCAGATGCCCAACCTACAAACAGTGGCAAATCCCTCAGCCTCCTGGAGAGAAATAGCCATGGATCTTATAGTGGAATTACCAGAAAGCAATAGGAATACTGTTGTCTGGACGGACTTGTTTTCCAAACAGGTGCACTTTATCCCTTGCCAAAAGATTCCCACTGCAAAAGCCTTAGCAAAACTTTTCATCCAGCACATTTACAGATTGCATGGGGCACCCCAACGCATCATCTCTGACGGGGGTGCAATTTACGTCTGCATTTTGGAAGGAATTTTTATCCCTCTTAGGAACCACTCAGGGACTGACATCTAGCCATCATCCACAATCGAATGGGGGGGCTGAAAAAATGAACTCCA